TTAAATTACTTTTAAATGTTAAACGAAGAAGTTTGGATCTCTCTCAGTGAATTCTGGCTGTCAGTGAATTTATCTTTTCTCTTGGACTCATACTGTTCCCATGCATGGTGCAAAGAGCAGAGTAATAAAAAATATTTTCTGTGAAAGTATGCTCCATATGCTTGCCTTTTCCTTCGAGTTTAATCGTTTAGTAACATACAGGGGTTTCTGTATTTTTTAAGGGCATTATTTCATAAAGCAGTATTATCTTCTAGTCAATCCAACTCACTGACGTGTGGCTCCACTATGGCAATTTTGAATCCTGGGCCAGCGGCCCTGACCTGCAGAGCTCACCTGACTATTCGTTTCCTGGTAGAGAAACAATGCCTTGGAGGGTAAAGCTGATGTTCTGGGTTCTCTAACTAACGCTCAATTTGTGTGATGGCTGAAGAAAAGGCGGAACCGCTAAGTATTTTCTTGTTCCATCTTCAAGGACCCTTAGAACAAATTATGTCACTTTAAGCCCTTGAAAATCTATCCAGAGAGGAAGAGTTTTGTTGGAATAGTATATATTCCCTGTATTCGAGTTAAATTCATCTGTCACAGAAATGAGTTAGTTAAGGTAGCAAAAGGTGGTCTCATGCAGTAACTCAACGGTGTCATCAGCCCAGTGATAAAAATGTACACGTGCAAGTCCAGAAGCCCCTGGAGTTGACGCCTGAACTGAAATTGGGCGCGAGGGGTGAGACTGTTTGCAGAGGCAACAGTGGAAGCAAAGGCACAAAGGCATTAAACATGCCACTGCGGTCACTTCAGTGGGGAAATATTGTGAAAGATGTCACATGTGAAGGAGATAAGACAGTTTCAATACCAACTATTGGAGGGTTTAAGCGAAGGAAAGGCATCATCAGTTTGCTCTACAGATAACTGACAGCTGTGCGGTAGACGGCCAAGGGCGGAAAGGGCTGCAAGTGATAACCGGTTAGGAGGATGTCTTGATTGCGCAGGAAGACGAGGGTCTGAATTAGGGAAGTGGGATTAGCAAAGGAGATGAGAGCACAGATTTGAAAAGTAGGAAGAAAATTGTGCAAGACTTAAACACGCTTATATCTAAGCGGTAAAGAGGGCTCTCTAGATTCCTGGTAAGGGTGACTAGGTAGATGGTAGAAGGGAACTCCACGATAGAAAATATGGGGGGGTGGGGGGGGAAGGCTGGCCTGGTGGTGCGGCAGTGAAGTGCGCACGTTCCACTTTGGCGTCCCCGGGGGTTCATCAGTTCGGATCCTGGGTGCAGACATAGCACTGCTTGGGAAGCCATGCTGCGGTAGGCATCCCACGTATAAAGTAGAGGAAGATGGGCATGGATGGTAACTCAGGGCCAGTCTTCCTCAGGAAAAAAAAAAAAAAGAATGGGGGGGGAAGAATGGGTTTAGGGGAACAGAAGATATGCAAGCTCGGGTTTCTGTCATGCAGTCTGAGATGCCTGTCATCCCGATGGAGATGTCTCGTGCAGCTGGATAGAGTCTGGAACTCAGGTGGAGGTGAAGTAGTAAGAGGGAATTATCATGCTATATCTTGGATTCGTATTTCCTAAATTTATATTCCAATTTACGAACTGGAATGCTCTAGCTTAGCTAATATTCCAACTAGTAATTTCTTCATCAAATTACAACTAGAACATCAAATTTGATTTCTGGCATTTCCAGCATGATAGGACACCCTCCCCCCCCCCACTTTTCATTTGTTTGAATCAGGGTCCAAGCATGATCTCTATGTTTCATTTGGTTGCTATGGCTCTCCTTTTTCCTTCATGTCATCCATTTGTTGGAGGAGCCAGGCCATTTGTCCTGTAGAATGTCCAACATTGGCTGTCTGCTTCTTGGTGTGTCCTTTAACTTATTCCTCTGTCCCTATAAACCAGTAGTTACATCCAGAGGCTTGACTAGATTCAGACAGTTTCTTAGGAATGAATTTTCACAAGTGTGCTGTGGACTGTCAGTCACATCAGAAGGCATGTATCTGGTTGTCCAGCTTTTAGTGGTGACTGATCAGTGGGTTCAGGTGGGGTCAGCCTGATCCCTGCCTTCAGAGATCACCATTTATTAAACTGTCACCTAATGATTTTAGCATTTCATTGGCAATTGTTACCTGAGCCTTAATATTAAATCCTTAATATTTAATTAAGGATTGCAATGGTAATTTTCTAAATTCCACCACTTTTCCTGCATTAGCTGGAATTTTTCTTTAAGGAACTTTCCTTTTATCAACAATTTATTTCCCTGAAATGCATTTCATACAACAAAGACCATAGAAACACGATTCTGTCAATTTTCAAGTAAATGAGTTGATGCAATAACAACTTCCAAAGGTAACCGATGACTTTTCACTATGATTATGGCCCTATGGATTTTCTAAATATTTAATGTTTCAATCCACTTCAGACATTATCTTGATGCTCAAATTAATCCTCCCACTGCCCCTTATCTCCCCACTGCTGGGTCCTGTATCATGTTGGCTTGATATGAGATATTTGTTATTTCCTTACCTTCTGGCATAAAATAACTCAGTCTTACCTTGTATTATTTCCTGCCTCAGACGTTTTTTCAAGGGTCCCTGGTCCTTCTGGTAGGAAACAACCACCTGTGAGCGCTAAGGCTGCAGCTCACTGCTACTGAATTGTGAATTGTCCTTTTCATGGGCCTTGCTAGGAAATGTGGGTTTTTTGGTTTTGTTTGTTTTGCAGGGAAAGATTGGCCCTGAGCTAACATCTGTTGCCAACCTTCCTCTTGTTTTTTTCTCCCCAAAGTCCCAGTTCATGGTTCTATATCCTACTTGAGTTGTTCTAGTTCTTCTGTGTGAGCTGCTGCCACAGCCACAGGATGGCAACTGACAGACAGGTAGTGTGGTTCAGCAACTGGAAAGAGAACCTGGGCCGCCAAAGCAGTGAAGCGTCAAACTTTAATCACTAGGCAATCAGGGCTGGCTCGGAAATGTGTATTTTTTAAAGATAAAAATAACGGCAAGTTTATATTGATTTTATACTTGTAAAAATCTTAGCTCCTAATGATAACCTAATTATTTATTACCTTTATCATATAATACATAAAAATAGTTTCAATATGCTACTGGTTTTTCTCCCATTAACACTAGTGACTGCAGAGTAAGGTCTCAGTGTGGTTCTTTTGTCCTCAGACTCCATCTCACTAGTGATGCAGGCAAAATATTGTATTCTAAAGTCACTTGAAAGCAACGTGTTTATAACAACTTGATACGTATTAGGTTTGCTTTCTAATTTTTGGGTTATTTATTTAGCTTTTAAATTGTTAAATTTTAAGTGGTTCCAAAGTCAAAACTACAGAAAAAGGCACATTCACAGAAGTATGCTTCTGTCCCACCTCTTTCCTTCTACTGGTAACCCTTAGTTTTGGATTTACTCTTCCAGTTTGAATATAAGCAAATACACGTGTCTGTGGATTCACCTCACCCTTTCTAACACTAAGCTGGTCAGGTGGACCAGTGCTCTGCATTCGCTTTTCCACTTACTAGGTCCTGTGATCATTCTCTATCAGTACAGAGAGATACTCTTCATTTCTTTTTGTGACTGTAAGTACTCAGTGTGTGGATGTTCCAGTTTTTTCAGCAAGTCCCCTATTAACTGACATTTGAGTGTTTCCAATCTTTCGCATGTATCATTCCAAATTTTTGCCAGTGTTATCTTTGGGAAAGAGCCTAGAAGAATTTTGAGTCAGAGAATAAATGCATATATAATTCTGGCAGATATTATCAACTACCCCTCTGTACGAGTTTTAAGCTTCTCAACCTTTTCATTGCACTCTACGTATTTCCCCATACCCTCAACAGTGTTAAACGTTTGGCATTTTTCCAATAAAAGGTAGCAAGCAGAATTTTTTATTACTCTCTCTCTTCTGAACAAGATGAGCATTTTTTGATGTTAAAGGTCATTTAGATTTCTTTTTCTATGACAGTTCATAACTTTGGAATCCTCTTAATGTGTCATGTTTTTGGTTAGTGTGGGTTTTTTGGCTACGTAAACATTTATTATGTAGTTGAAATTATCAACATTTAGCTTTATTACTTCTAGATTTTAAGTCACATAGTATAGTTTTCCCTCACGCTTAGGTTATAATGGAGTTCAATCCAGAACTCATGGCTTCAGTTGTGCATCTAGACCTTTGATCTGTTTGGAATAAATCCTGTAGTTATTTTTAGTTATCTCACTATCTCAATAAAAGCCCATCTCTTCCCCAGTTTTGAAATGCTGCTTTATATTCTGAAACCTGCAATTGCTTTGGGTCTTTTTCTAGTCTGTTCCATTGGTCTGTTTATTCACGTGCCAACATCATGGCTTTAAATGATAGAGGTTTTATAATGGGCTCAACATTTAGCAACAGCTATCCTATTCACAGGCTGTTTCTTTAATGTTAATTTAAAACCCCACCGAATTCTCTTATTAACTGTAGTCGTTTTGGTTAATCCTCTTGGTTTTTCCTCCATGCATTTAATTGCTTTCTCTTATCTAACTACATTGGCAAATACCTCCAATGCAACGTAGTAATGGAGAATAAAGCCATCTTGCTCTTGCTCCTGATTTTAGAGGGACTTAATTCTCTCTAAAATAAACTCCCTCTAAAAGCCTGACTTTTCTGACACACTCCTGGACAGATAGTAAAGTTATTCCACTGAATAAAAACCTAACTTTATTGAACACAGGAATAGAAGGATTTTCCCATTTATTTTTTCTTTATGGTTGTTGCTTTTGTAAGGTATCTGATCCATAGCAAAACTTACTAATACTATACAAAAATGTCTGTCTATGCTTGTCAAGTTTGGATTTAGTTTCAATTTATTCATAAATGTACTGCAATCTAGAGAAAACCACTTATGCCGAGATCATCAGAGCATCAGAGCACGGTAACTCACAGCACATGCATTACTTCAGCTGCTAACAGAAAAGAGACCAACCTCTACAGCAACCTCAAAAGCACAGGTACAAATCTGCATTTTATGCAAAACTTCAGGTTTTATTTTTACTTATTCTTACATTGGTGGGAGCTGATATCAACAACTTAATGGCAAGCAATAACTTGTTTTCCACCTCTTAGCTGAACAAAAATACACACAATGTAGCGTTTTCATTAGGCAAGACTTGCTTTTTTTACATTTCACAAGAGAATGCAACATTACCCTTTCTTGAACAAAATGACCAGGTTACTCAGGAAACCATCTTTGGAGGAAATGTTTAATAAGCATATTTTATTTAAATAAATCCTCCAGTAGGAAATGGAGAATTCACTGCCTTTACTTAGAAGACTGTGTAAATAGTTATCTGTCAAATTTATCTGTGCAGCTCACCAACATTTCCTTGTTGGAAACATCAATATTTCCACGTCAGTTCCCAAAAGGACTTTCAAGTCTCAAAATTCTGTCTCTCCTTTTGCTTGCTTCTCTCTTGATTCCACCCAGGCTTTATTAATGGTTCGCTTCATGTCATCATCTCCATCTTCATAAATTTTCTTTAGAACATTCATCAATCCCTCACTAGGATCTGTTTCAGTGTCGTAGGAGGGCTTTCTGTTAAAAAGAAAACACAATAAAAATGGAGATAGATATAAATAGAGAAATATATATATATATATGTATAAAAATTATCCCATTTACTGACAAATTTTATATGTATGATTACCAAGTATGGAAAGATACAAATCAGGTTGTTAACAGTGGTAGGAAGTGGAGGGGTGGAAATAAGGGGAAGGCAGAGTATCCAAAGATATTCACAATTCACAGCATGCACAAATTCATCTTAACGAAAACAACATACACCCACACAGTGCATGAAAGAGTGGTCTTCAAAACGGTGGGGGTTATCTTCGGACTGGGATTTTAGGTGATTTTTAGCAGGAAAAATAAGCATTTACTTTTCTGAACTGTTTTAATTTTTTAAAAGCATGTTTCCACGTATAATTTGAAAAAAATACTTTCATTGAGGGAAAAACACAAACATCCCTTTCACATGGACACATATTGAAACTCACACATTTTTTAATTAGAAAAGCCCTCCCCTTACACGGGTCTGGGCCTGGGAGTAAAAGCATGGTCCTTCATGTAGCCAATACTTCTGGTTCAATGTCTAAACTGGGCCAATTAATTTATATTTAACTCTTCATTCACCTCATTTATTGATTCTGTACTGGGCAGTGGGGATCCAGTACAGTAAGACAAGGTCCTGCACTCAGGTAATTCATTCTAGATTTAAAACCAACCCAACAGATAGTGCCTAACTCTAGCCAACCACACACCAAATGTACGCCGGCAATCAGAGGGGAGGAGTAAGAGAAATGGGGATGGCTCACTGACTCACTGTAGTGCACAGCCCCTGCAGGAGATGGACAGCAGAGAAACATCTGACCTAGAATGGAAGTATCTTTGAACATGTTTTTAGAATAGCCACTACTAAGTAGGATAAAAGTATTCTATCTTGTCACTCTACACTCTACACAGTGATAGTGAAACTAACTACATATCAGAAATCTGAGTGAAGTTCAAAACCCAGAGAAGGATATCTGGGCCTCTCTCGACTACTGCTATAGAATCTTGGGGAATGGGCACAGAATCTACATAGAAGCACCAGTGGCCCAGGGTTGAGAAACAGTACAGAGAGCCAACCAAAACCACAAAGCCCTCCTTAAAAAGCACCTTGCTGGACACGTGCCCTCTTCAGGCAGGTTCTGACAGTTGAAAGCAAATAGAAGATAATCGGTTAGTCAGTAGACATTAGGAGGCAGATGGTCAAATCAGAAACTAGACAACTCTATTATCCATAAAGACAAACTATTAAAAATCTACAATCCCAGCAAAGAATACATTAAAATTCTTAAAGAAGTGAAAGTAGACTCACTCTTTCTCTTTGCATTCTTTTTCAACCTGTGTCAGGTAGTCCCACCGTGTGTTTTCTGCTTTCTTTCTACATAAGATAAGAACTGTGTCTGTCTTGACCTGGAAGAAAAGCAGGAAAACAGGTATAACTTAGAACACGTGGAGATAAGCATGAATATTTAGAAAACAATTATTTACTGAATTAATCGAGTTACTATGATGTGTAGGACCTGTTTTAGGTGTTAGTAATACTTTTAGGAATAGGTCAGAGTCCAAATACTCCTGGAGGAGAAAACCATAAACAAGTGAAACTGGAATACCTTTAAGTACAAAGTGTTCTCAAACAAAGGTGTCACTGGGATTTAGGGGACAAGCTTCCTTAGGAAGGCCTCTGAGGTGAAATCTGAGCTGTGGCCCAAGATCTAGGAGAAAGGGCCTTCTATAGAGGCAGTTGGCACAGCAAAGAGAGAGGCTCCAAAATGAGATGATTTTGGTGTGTTTGGAAAAAAAAGGAAGGAGGAGTGGCAGGATTTTGGTGACTGAAGGAGAGTAACATAGTAAGGGGGTCAGAGAGAGGGAGAAAATCAAATCATAAGGCAGTATGGGTAAAGAGTTTGGAAGGTGAGAAAGCAGAAAGAGTAAAAGTACACAACTCTTTCAACAGTGATCCATGTAGCTCCTAGGAGTTGTAGTGCTCCTGGAGTTTGAGTGTTCCTTCAACTATGGGATTGGCAGATGAAGGGAGCAGTGAAACACAAGCTAATCAATAAATTATCTTCTAGTATTACCTCTATGCTGCTACACAACTCTATGTAAACAGAGATGGCAGAATGGCACTTCCATATACCACAATCATTAAAGCTCATTTACTTAAATTAGGTAAAAGAGGGATTATCTGAATTAGTGAAAAGTATGAGTAATAGTTTTTTAAAAGAGTATTTTTATAGCGTCTACTAACTCCAACCAGGCTAAGTGCTTAAGTCCCTTTATGTATCAAACTTACAGAGTGCTTCTGATAATAGCTACCATCAATTTAAGTACTTTATATATCGTTCATTTCAGCATATCATTTCAACTATTTGAAATAAATTATTATTCCCATTGTACAAATAAGGAAACTGAGGCACAGAGTGATTAAATGAGCTAAGGTCACTAGCAAACGGCAAAACTGGCATTAAAACACAAATCTCACTCTTAACCATTTTAAAGTTTATTCCCCTCCTGATTTTAATGCAATATTCTTATAATAATCTATTCTTCTAGAGCCGGGTTGGCAAACACTTTCTGTAAAGGGCCAGACAGTTAATATCTTAGGCTTCGTGGGCGATATGCTCTGTTGCGGCTGCTTAACTGTGCCACTGTAGCACGAAAGCAGCCACAGACAACACATCAACAAATGTGTGTGGGTATGTTCAAATACAACTTTATTTACAAAACAGGCGACAGGTGGTAGTTTGCTGATCCCTATAATAGAGGTTAAATTAATTCTAGTTCATCTCAGTTCTAAATAGGCCACGTTCAATTTAAGGTTTAAGAAAATTATGATAAAAAAGCAAACTTACTTTTTTTGAACTGCCTTCCACAGAGATGGGTTTCAAAAGATTGTTCACAATCATGGAGTAACTCTTCCCATTTAGATTCTTTACCAGAAGATCAAATGACCTACAACATAATAGTAAATACATTATCTTTCTCGTTCTATGAAAGGTATTCTATAATCCTTGTGGGAAAAGTCACCAGTTTTATTTTTGCATGTGCATCTGGCCATGCCAGATGATACGACTCACCCCTTCAAAGCAGGTGTAATGGATAATTAATTCTAAATTAAGCAGAACTTTCAAAAGTGCAAAGAAATGAGCTGTAATAAGGCAGTCTCTGATTTAATGATCACTGTCTTTCTCATTATGAGAACTCACCTCTCTGTGAAATGCACCTGCACATTCTCAGTGGGGACTTGATGAACTCCAGGTAAGGTAATGTAGATTTTCACAAACTTATCTGACTGATCCCATCCTAGTAACAACAACAAAATGGGACAGGAGTAAAATCTGCTATTATCTCTAGAACAGCATATGCATATGGCTCATCATAAAACTCAGTAAAATGAAAATCCAGTAATAGAAACATGAAAAAAAAAAAACTTTCTAGATGGAGAAATTGAGCTTCAAAGCAGTGAAATAATCTCCCCAAAGTTAGGCATCTAACTAGTGCTAGAACTTGGCTCCAAATCCAGGTTTACTGAACACAATGCCCATGTTCTTTTTAGTCCTTAGAATAAGGAATATGATCATTAAATACGTTAAGAGTAGTTCACTTCCCCTTTTATGGAAATAGTTTTGTGCAATACCTAAATATTGGTAATTCTCCACTAAGCGGGATGGCTAACCATCACTATTGTCTAGTTCCATAATCATTTCTACTTCTCTAAACAATTCAACAACACAATCCTAGCTTTCTCAACTCCATTCCCTGACAAGGGAGAATATAAATTTAGGGAGTCCACTTCATCCAAATCTGCTAATGTGACCAACATACCAAAACCCTACCACCTTCAGACCAGTTTCCTACAGTCAACTAAGGACACAGCCTATCTCCTACAGTGCCTCTATTCAGCACGACACACACACTGCTCTTCACTATGACAATACTCAAAATACATGATGCCTTTCAGGGATCTGTGTCCTTTGCTCATGCAACTCCCTCTCCTTTCCCACACTTGCTGAACTCACCCTTCAAACTCAAACATCTTTTCTAATTCAGACTGTTCCTAACCTCCAGCAGAATTGTTTTATCACCTGTATTCCCATAATACTTTATAAATCTCCATTCAGTTCAGCTAAACAAATATTTCTAAGTACTAACTACGTGCTAGATATTGTGAGCACAAAAAATAAGACTGCCCCCGCCCTTGTGAGAGCTCATCACTCAGATGTAAGTCGCACTGCTTCCAAAACAAGAGTGTTTATGATCTACTGAGGGAAATGGTGTTATTTACATTGTTATGGTATCAGCTGTGTTTGTATCCCAACCACACCACGAGCCGGGACTGGGTCTTGGTCACTGTTGTGTATCCAGAAGTCCAAGCACAACAGGGGCACATATTAGATGCTCAAAAATGTTTTTTGAATTTAACTGGATTCCTTTCCTCAGTTAATACTGGCGGTTGTTTGGCAAAGCGAAATGCAAAAATGGTGAAAACAAATCAAAAAGCTGTGTTTCACATCTACTGACTGTATTTGAGAATAGGTTCCTTCTTGCTGCTACTACTCATTGTACTAAATCATCTTACTCTTTTGTTAGTAGCTTCTAGAATGCATCCTTTCCTTTTTCATCTCTTAAAAAGTATCTTATTAAATAAGAATTGATGGGTGCTCTCTTTCAAAACACTCAAAACTATTTTAAAAACTACATTTGTCAGTGGGTCACTAGTGAAGAAGAGGCTGCCTGCAGGCAGGAAGAGCTGGATGCAGGGGAGCAAGTCATACCGTAATTACTGATTTTCACGGTATAGCCCGTTGTAATGGGAGCAACCACAGCCGCTGGCTTTTCATTGTCAAGAAGTTCTGCTTTCTTCTGTGATTTCTGCTGCATCTTGTTTTTGATTTCTGTCTCAATCTTGGATTTTTCAGCTGTAAGGGCATCACGTACTCTTTTTCTAGTGGCTTTTTCCAGTAGCACCTTCACCTCTTCTAGATCTTTCTGTAGCTGTGTTAAAATAAAAGATAAGTTAGCTATAATAAATAAGATAGTAGCTTGATATTGTGCTTATTGGTTATTTCAATTTACTGAGATAAGAGCTAAGAATTAAGTGGGTCATTTAAATTTTCTAGGGTTGGGTTACAACTTGGATTCTTTCCTCCAGCCTACGGAATTGTAACTAACTCAAACTGCCTTTTTTTTTTTAAAAGGAAAACTTAACAATCTTCAAGTTAACAGTAGGTAATCAAGCCTAAATTTTCCAGTTTGGTAGACTTGTTATCTGCCTCTGTTTTGGAACATTTTATTTACAAAATACTTTTGTGATTTATAAACTGGAATAAAGAAATCTTAAAAAAAAAACCGAGTTCATGGATTTCTTTATGACATCCAGTCCTAGTCATCAGATATTAGGCATTTTTAAAATATTAAAATAAAACAGATGAGTGAATACATGATGAGCGTGGTGAAATGCTACAGCAACTCTCCTAGGTAATCCTCTACTTCCTGTCAGTGATTGGTCCTCACTGATCTCCCACCCCAGATATTACACACACAAAGTTTGAATTTTTAAGACAAGATAAAAAAAGACATTTTTGCTTTTAAGAAGACTTGTTCTAATCAACAATCCAAAGTAACATATGCTCACTGCAGCACTATTAGAATAGCCAAGACATGGAAACAATCCAAGTGCCCATCGACTGATGAATGGATAAAGAAGATGTGGTATATATACATACACAACGGGATACTACTCAGCCATAAAAAAAGACAAAATCACCTCATTTGCAACTACATGGATGGACCTGGAGGGAATCATGCTAAGCGAAATAAGCCAGATGGAGAAAACAAACACCAGATGATTTCGCTCATATGTGGAATATAAACAAACACATGGACAAAGAAACAGTTCAGTGGTTACCAGGGGGAAGGGGCTGGGGGGTGGGCACAGGGGGTGAAGGGGAGCATTTGTGTGGTGACAGGCGAGATATGTACATACGTACAACTGAAATTTCACAACAATGTAAACTATTATGAATCTCAGTTAAAAAAAAAAAAAAAAGTCTTGTTCTGAAGCTCCAGGTTAATCTTCCAGACAAAAGTCTGGGATTTGGCTACACAGTAGAGGGAAAAAACCTGGGCTAACATAACACTCCAATATGTCACACCCTCTGGGATCAATGAAAATGCCACCTGCTTTTTTCTTCTTATACCAATACATTGCCTCCCAATGTCTATTTCTGTTTCTATTTTCAAGAGAGAGCGCCAACATTTTATCAAGTTCAAGAGTTAGAGACACAGTTAGAAAATTAATTGGTCTTAAAAATGTTTTCCCAGGGGCCAGCCCCATGACACAGTGGTTAAGTGTGGCATACTCTGCTTTGGCAGCCTGGGTTTGTATCCCTTGTGTGGACCTACACCACTCATCAGCCGTGCTGTGGCGGCATCTCACATACAAAATAGAGGAAGATTGGCACAGGTTAGCTCAGGGCTAATCTTCCTCAGCAAAAAAAAGTTTTCCCAGTTATCCTCTCACATATTGCAAATGTGTAAGATCTTTACAAACAAGGGATTTATTTTTTCTTAAAATAACTCTACATTCTGGCTTGATACTAGCAATTTGACAAGACTTATATCACAGCCTGAGATCATATAAAGGCTCAATATAAAAATCTTTAAATGCTTGATAACTCAGTATATAATATCCGAAATACAGAGTTTGAAAGTCTTTGTTTCTTAATAGTCACATGAAATTCAGTAACAGAAAAACGAATGCTTTTCTTTTACCAAGCCTTTTACTTTCTCATTTAACTCAGAGGCCCCGTTTCACCTGTCAGTAACTGATAACACAGGATAGAGTCCAACTGGGCCCAGTCTCTTGGTCCATACTCTACTCCCTCTCCTAAAATCATATTAAGATGAAAATAATTGCAACTCATCTTCTGAGCATAGAACCAACATGCTTTAGTTCAAAACAATCTTTTTCATTATAATGGTTTAAAAAAATACACACTGATTCTAATACCAATATGATAAAAATACTGAAACGTAAAACGAGTATACCTGTTCCCAGAGTAAGGCGTTTTAAAAGAGAAAATGTATCAAGTCGAAACAAGATATTTTACTTCTTGACTAGAACAGGAATCTTTTCTCTAGGAGACTTGGAAAAGAACTCTGAGAATTAAGCAAGAGATTCCCAGACCCTCTTTCCGGCCAGTGTAGGCCCTGACAAAGCACACAAGAAAGGCAGACACTCCAGGTCTGGGCACCTTACAGCAGGCCTGTTGCAGGCAACTCCTCAGTTCTATTTGCAGACCTGAAACCGGTAAGATCGATCCCTTTGGTGCTTTTCCTGCACACACACTTGAAGATGTCTTGGCTACAGCAGCTTCTCATCTAATTGACCTTGGCATTCATTTGTTTTTCTTATGCAAAACTGCATTTCCCTTTCATCCCTGCCCACCCACCAACATTCAAGCTTTATCTTCTAATCTACTTCCAAATTCTTCACTAGGAGACATTAAAACTAAAGTGCCTCGAAACGGGCAAAGGACTTAGACATTTCTCCAAAGATACAGGCAATGGCCACCAAGCACATGAAAAGATGCTTAACATTATTACTCATTAAGGCAACGCACATCAAAACCACAGTGAGCTACCACTTCAACCCACTAGGATGGCTAGCATCAACAACAAAAAAACACAAAACCCCAGGAAATATTAAGTGTCGACGACTATGTGCAGAAAGCAGAACCTTCATACACTGCTTGTGGGAATGTAAAATGGTGCAGCCACTCTGGAAGGAGTTTAGCAGTTTCTCAGAGTCACCATAAGACCCTGCAGTCCACGCCTAGGGACAGACCTCAGAGAACTGAAAACACTACGTCCACATAAAAAGTGGTACACAAGTATTCAGAGCAGCACTGTTCCTAACAACCAAAAGGCGGAAAGAATCCAAATGTCCATCAACTGATGAATGGACAGACAAAATGTGTTACCATACAACAGAATATGATTCAGCCATAAAAAGGAACACATGCCACCCCATGGATGAACCTGAAAACATTATGCTGAGTGAAAGGCAAAAAGGAAAGGCCACATAATGTGAGGTTCCATTTATACGAAGTGCCCAGAACAGGCAAACCCAGAGAGAAAGCAGACGCGAGCTTGATGGGGCGGGGGGATGGGGACTGACCGCTCAGGACTGTTCACAGGTTTCTGTTGGGGGTGATGGGAACGCTCTGTAGTTAGCGATGGTTGTGCAACACTGTGAAGATACTAAAAACACTAAACTGCACACTTTAAAATGGTTAAAAACAGTGAATTTTATCTAAAACCAAAACACCTCCCCCAAGAGTGTACCTAAATACGTGTTTTTAAGCACCTGAATTGAGAAGGGCCCTAACTTGGATTAATACTGAGCTCCCCAGAGGTATGACTGTGAAGTCCCTTCAGAGACTCTCCTCGGGGCACATGGCGCCCCACGGCCTGCCGTTTACACAAACTCGGGGAAGTCATCCAGACCAACACTAAACACACTTTTTCTTCATTTTAGGCAGATTCTTAGACTTATTTAAGATTCCCAGTCTTGTCCATATTGAGGAAAAGGTTTCTAGAAAACAAATCCAGCTCATATACACCAACACTTGTCTGTGATTAACGGTTTTATGTAGTGACATCCTTTCAGGCCAGGAGCAGAGCGCCGCCAGCAGGAGCACTCCCATTTTGTCACCGCGCAAACTGTGCCTCCAACGAGCTTAGCTGCCCCGTCCGGTTTACAGAGCCGAAAACAGACAAAGGCTATTTCCCACCACCACTTACAACTTTCCAATTTGTGTTTTAAAACGTATAGAGCGACCTGCTGGGTGCCAAGCACTGCTTTCAACATTTACAACGATTACTTGGTCTTTCCAACCCTCTGAAACGGATCCGACTGCGGCACAGAGCAGCAGAGAACTTGCCCCAAGTAACACAGCCACCCGAAGGCGCAGAGCAACCAGGACTCAGAGAAGTCAAGCGCCGGGACCGACGGCTCCTCGCCTCCCACGGGCTCCCCCAGGGACGCCCCTCCGACGCTGCAGTCGGCTTTAGCGTAACGAGCCTCGCGTCCTCGGGCCCGAAGAGAGCGTGAGGGGGACGAGCGCGCCCGGCACCAGGGCACCGCCTGCAGCCCCCCGTCCCCACCGCGGGAGGGGCCGCTGACCGCAGCTGCCCGGGGCAGCGGGGCCCGCGGGGACCGGGGACGGGGCCGCTGCAGGTGCGCGGGGCCACCAAGGCCCAGGGAGGGGCCGACGGGCGACCCGGGGCAGCTCCGCACGGGAGGCAGGCCGGGGACCGCGACGGGGCTGAGGGGGGCGCGGGCGGACGGCGAGGCCGCCCCTTACCTCCTCCAAAGCTGCGGCCATGGTCGGCCTGATCAGGCGGGGCCCGGGCTGCAGCCGCGCCCGGCACAACACGAAACGCCGCCGCGAGCGCGCTCCCCCGAGCGCAGACCGCTGGCACGAGACGCAGGGCTCGCAGCCGGCGCGCACACTCGACCCTGCGCGAGACCGCGGCCCGCCTCCCGCACGCGGCGCCTCTGGAACCTTCGCGAGCCCGTCGCCGCCACGGCCCCGCCCCCCGAGCGCCGTCCGCCGCGCTCAGCCCCGCCCCGCTGCGCCTGGTCCCGCTCCGCCCGCCGCGCCGCGAAGCAACGCTCAACTCTCGCGAGCAAAGCGGCAGTTCGCGAAGAGTAACGCCTCTTCCTCCCCGCCCCGGCAACTCCATGTTTTGAACTTTGACCCCGTTTGCGCCGGCTGCGCAGTCGCAGCTTGGAACCGCCGCCCTCCGTACCTTAACCCAACCCCGGAAATAACGTACTGATCGTCGGGGTCCAAGTCGGAAGTTGCCTAGAGAGGCAGTTGCTTCCGTCCCCTCTAGGACACCGGGCCAACTAGGCAGCCATGTTGTCCAAGGTTAGTCTGTGAGTCTGCGAGAAAAGGACAAAAAAATGGGGAGAGTGGGCCACCTATTTCTTTTAAAACGGGGACGAACGAGGACGTTAAGTGTGGAGCATTCTGATGGGAAGTTTGTTTTTTCAGTGGGTTCTGGCGCTCTGGAGACGTCACCACGATTTAACAATTACGATGTGGTGGCGTCATCGAGGACCCCGATGGGAGGTGAAGCTGTCTTGGCCTCGTGACCGGCCCCAGTGGCGCCTCGTCCTCCGGCTGTAATTACCGTCCCGCCTTTCCCTCGTGCGCTGTCGAAGCACTTCCTTGGTGCCTTCTTCCCCTCCGTCGACTATTCTGCGAGTCTCTAGTTCTCACCCGGGTTTGAATTCGATTTAAGTGAGCCTATTACCCTCAGAGATAATGGTGTTGAGTTTTCCTGGGAACTGCGTTCCGCTTCTCCCCTGGCTCCAGCAGCCCGGCTCAGTAAGGCCCCTAAGAAACCGAGTTTTCAGATTATTTTAGCCATTGGCGGCCTCATAACGTCTGCAGCACGGTTGAGAACGTAGACAGTAATCCCTGAGAAGTCAGCTAGCCCGCGCTCAGTTTATATATCGCCCGAGGTAGCGATTAGAATCAGCAAGTCAGAGAAGGAAAAAAGCTACTAGAAAGATGCAGGCTGACCCTTGTCGTAGTAAAGAATCGGAAATACAGTGCAAACCCCGACAAAGTGCAGCTACACCCTACGTGCACGAATCTCACAAACATGACGTTCAAGGATAGAAGCCAGACACAGAAGAGTGCATATCATTTGGTTCCATTTAAATGAAGTCTAAAGATAATAAAACTAGCCTATCTTGTTAAAAATCAGGATAGTCTTTCCTTAGGTGAGGAGGACAATGACAGAAAGGAGCCACGACGGGGCTTTCAAGGTTCAGGTTATGTTTTGTTTCTTGATTTGGTTGCTGGTTGTAGGTGTGTTCACTTAGTAGAAATTTCACTGAGCTGTAAACTTACGTTCGTGTAATTTCCTGTTTGTGTTATACTTAACTAAAAGTTATATTTACGTAGGCTCAGGAGGGAATTTTCCCGAGATGATAGAAATGTTACACTGATACATAGAATTGTCAGAATTCATAGAATGAAATCCTAAGATCTGTGCATTTTATTGTATGTTAATTATACCTCAGTTTAAAAAAAAAATGTCCATCCGAAAGCCTGGAATTAGTTAGGTACTTAATAGGAACAAATATCCCATTGCACTGCGTGAAGGCTTGACCTAATGCCGTGATTTCCAAATTTGCTTGATTATGCACCTGGGGCAACTCCTTTTCGCACATATCCTTAAAGTCACAAGATTTGAAATACCATTTATTATCCAGTGACTCCCCAATCTCTATCTTCAGCTCCACTAGGCCAGACTTTGGACTTTGGCTCTGCTTGAATGTCTAATAAGCACACCAAATGCAGCTTGTTGAAAACAAAAACAAAAACACCCCCTCCACCCAATATCTCACCCTCACCCCAAATCAGTTCCTCCAATGATTCTCCAGCTCTGTGACTGGTTGGCTCATTACCTTGAATGCTCAGGCCAAGGAGTCATACTTGAGTGTCAATCTCAGGTCCTACATCCCATCTTGTAGCAAGTCTTGCCGGCTTTACCTTCAAAATACGTGGGGAATCAAATCACTTCTCACAACCTCCAGTACTAGCACCTAAGACCAAGCCAAACTTTGTATTTGTCTCATTAGTTAATGAGGGAACCAAAAAGATGTTAAAACTGTATCAGTGTATTTGTATAGCCGGGTGCTTACAGGCAATTTCACAATAGAATGTTAGTGTGAGGTTGCAAAGTTAAGATACAAGCTGGTTAATGTCCTACAGGGTGGTAAACTATATGTGACCTCTAGGGTTATCCGTTCCACTGGAAAGAAGGAGAGATTTGCATCCCTACTGGACAAACGTCTGGAGGTTAACATGTGACTTCACCAAGTATAGGACCTTTAATCAACAGTGAACAGTGGGTTCCGCTTACTGTTTGTGTCAAGACCACTCATGACCTCCCAACTGCCAAATTCAGTAGATCTTTTCTGAATACTTTGACTCCTTTACTTTTTATGTAAAATTTCTCCTTTAGAATACCACATGGGCCAAAAAAAGATGTCTGTGGTCAGGGTTTGGGGCATCAACTGTAATTTTACAATCTCTCATTAATAGTTTTTAAATATATGCTGAATTCTCAGAGTTGCTGACTCGTCTCTTGGCTTTCACTAAGGTTTCATTCACTCTCAGAACAAAATGCAGATCGATATTCTCTGCCCCCTGCCTCCACTTCCATAAAGCCTCTGGAGTTCTCTTTGAATTATATGCTATCACTGTGCTGTACCTTGAAAGACTAGAAGCAGCCACCTAATCCAGGATTAGCCAATCAGATTTTTGCAAGATTTTGGAATTGGGACACTGAGATGCTAGCCATCTCTGCTGATCACTTTTAGAGAGGATAGTAAACTTGCAAGTTGTGCACTCAGAAGCAGGGAAAACTTGTTTTCAGAGAGAGCAGCAGCAAAGCAGCAGGTGGCAAGACAAGCAGAAGAGCGATTATGAGAAGAGTTGCTTGGGCTCCTGATGGCAGCATTCCAGTCTCCTGTCGTGTTTCTTCAGGAACAACTGTTTGGTCTTTGGTATCTATGAGAGAAATATCCCTATTTCCTTTTAATTAATTGCCTTATTATTATGAAGCTAGCTTGAGACAGTTTCTGTTCCTTGCAACCGAGGACCCTCTCTAGAGAGGAAGCCAGGGCACCGCAGTGCTGCTGTACAGGGTATCACTTCGCAGGGAGGAGCCCACAGCAAAAGCCTGTCTATTTTTTTCTTTGCAGGTTGACTGGAGTCTACTGTCAACTGTGACGTGTTACATAAACACTGGGCTCAGATGATTCAGAATAAAATCAACTAGGAAAAAATCAGAGAAACATACATGGACTTCAGAACAAATGTTTATTACTGCTTAATGGGGCCAAAAGGGCAACACAAAGCATTGAAAACATCACTGGCTCACAATAACAGTCACCTTGTTACCTTCTTGGTTGCATTTGTTTATTTTACAAGGCTTCATTCACACATGAAAACAAGATACTAATCCAATTCAAGTTCATAACAATTATAAAAGTAAACATTTGTTGGGACAATGTACAATAAATTGCACTTTTCTTAACAAGCATTACATTTACATTTACAGAATGTACTATACATAATACATGGAATTATGAAAACATCTAATTGGTCAATGTTTATAGAGGAGAGAGGCTGCTCACTACAGTTTCCTTTTTAGTCAATTAGCACTGTTTGGGCTAATCAACTCCTTTATTCTAGAACCTGTTTTTATTAGAGTAGCTGTGGGCAAAATCAGAGAATCCATAAAAATAGGTGGTACAGAATTTCTGCTACCTCCTCAGCAAGGGAAAGGTAGGAGTTGAAAGAGAGGATGTGGAGCTGACTGAGAAACTTTCCCTCATTTGAACTAAGGATCCATACATTATGCAAAATACCAAAAACAGAGAAACTGATGCAAAAGGCTATTGGGACATCTTGGATTCTGGGACCATCTCCAGCTTTATTCTTGTGCTTTCATGACACCAGAGTCTTGAAGCATTTATATCCTTGTAATTCAGTTCCCTATAGTTTATTCTATATATAACATAGTTATTAAAAGTTACACTTTAATGGAAAAGATTTTACATGTTAACTTATTGCCAGTGAAAAAGGAAAGTAACCTAAAATGTCCATTTTCTACTCAATGATTCTTTTTTCTTAAAGTTTTCAAAATACCACTAATGATGAACCAGGGATGGAGGTGGGAAGAATGGGACATGTTGGTGAAGATGTTTTTATAGCAGGTAGCAAATTCATTTGGAGATAACCTTGACATGTAGACTTTTACATGGAAGCTGAGAAGGGACCGCCTGACAGCTGACTGCAGTCACTGAGCTACTCATAAACATCCACCTTTTTCATTACAACTCAAGATCAACATCTCCTATTGAGGTGCAGCCCAGACTTAAAATATTCATTTTGGTAGTTTTTGAAAGATAAGGAAATTCCCAAGGTCACGGGCTTTGCCTCTATTGTACGGAAGCCACTGTGAGAGAGGAAGGATGTTTTGGAGCAGTTCTACTTCCATGTGACCATCAGCATGGCAACTAGAGGGAAGAGTTTTTCATATCTGGTGGTTGGAAACATACAGGCTACCACGCTGTTGTCTGGCCTTCTGTATCTGATCTCCAGGTGTGTATTCAGCTCTTTGGTACCTGGGTCTACAAGAGAGGCAAGCACCCTCTGGACAAGTCTACCAATCACAGGCACACACATACCTAGCAGTGTTCAAATCAGACGACAGAGTTTGTCCATTCTCTCTCTTACTCGAAATTGAAGCAAGAGAATCAGGGCTATTTTAGAGTGTTTTTTTAAAGAGTAAGTTACACAATAGACTCACCTTGCTAAGTAATTAAATGTGTTCTTTTCCAGAGAGAGAAAGCAAACAAGGTATTTAATTTTTTAAAAGCTCCTTTTCCCCTTAAAGGGGTCCTGAAATCAGACAACCAACTTAGCAGAATAGTAGACTGATTTCAGCTGAAGAAAACTCAATCCCTTACATTAGTTACATACGTGATTCTCATCCTAACTAATCAACTGCTTTAAGAATCTAACTCATGTCTTGTGCCTTAAACTGTGTACTCTCTTGTTTTTCTCACTTTTGCTAGGAAACGAAGCCACTAGTTACTAACTGGAGAATATTTTAGGAAAATGGAGTAGGGGTTTCAGAAAAATATTAATACATAGTATAAAAGAATGAAAAATTTGAAAAAATCAAATAAGGTAAATATTATTAAATATCCCAACATCAGTACAAAGATTGCTTTTCTACTTTACTATGGAAATTTAAGAAAGCCAATGAAGAAGAAATTACTAACTTAATAGCTAGGAGAAGAGAGATATTGGTTATACGGAAAGATAGGCCATAGGCCTATATGACATTCCTTTCAGTGTTTCTGATAGGCACTCATACACAGAACATTAGGTAACTGAGCATTTCTTTGCATTAAATGATATGTAACTAAATATAACCAAATTGTGCCATGGCTCAGGATGTGGGAAGCTAGCAAACATATGCACTGCAAAATTCAGCTTGGTTTCTTTCAGCTGTAAAGAACGTGTTAAACAAGACTCTCAAGATACAAAAGCTAATGAACTGAATGATCAAGTTGAATTTCATTCCTGTAATTTATTCACAGAATTTGATCAAAAGAGAAATCATCACTTTTCAGATGTTGCAAATGTTGGATTTTTGGAGGAATGTTTCAGAAAAAGAATCCTAGGAAAAGATGAAAAACACTGTAGAATATGTGAAAATTTCCTGGATACTTGGGCTTGTTGATCTCTTTCTAAAAGAAATCAAGAGAAAAGTAGTAGTTCTTAAATATATTTCAAAATAAGTGAAATTGCAATTAGCAGTTAATGCTGGGATGCATGAGTTTTCAAACAATACACAGTGAAGGACATGTGGTTTGAGATACAGCTATTATAACATATTGTATAAGTAATCATATCGTATACCAAATTTTGAATTTCCTTTCTATCTTTACTATTGCTACTGACCCAAAGGCATTGCAGTGAGGGACAGTTTAGACTTACGGTACCAATACACATACCCAGCAATGATACGGAATTGGAGAAGAAAAGAAAATCCATAAATTGCCACTATAATCTTTTGAGAGTTAAAAGAAAACACAAGAGACAGATTTATTAAATGTTTGGAATGTATGTACCTGGTGACTTTGTTTAAGAAAAAACGTAAGAAGCTATGAAATTGAGCCAGGTCTACTGGTAAGAACTGGACTGGGAGCCATTCTATTTCTCCCTCAACTACCATTCAAGGAAAATTATGCAACTTAGGCATTCTGTGGAATGTACTGATGTTTGGAAGTTAAGAGCTCTGTACAGTCGAACTATGAGATTCACAAAAAACAAAAGAATATCTTTAACTTAGCTGGCCATTTGATAAGGCAACTTGTACAAGGCTTCTTGGAATCAAAGCAAAAAGTACCAGTAGAGCTAACAAATTATACTAAATGATTTACCAAAACAAGTACCAAGATGCAATTTTCTAGCCATTATATTTTACAAAAAAACCCACGAGTTTTTCTAAACTATCAGGTATAGAACATTAAAGTCAACACAGACACTTGGAATGCTGGGTTATTTTCCTTTTTGGTAAAAGGAAATGAGTATTATGATGAAAGATGTCAGGAAAAATAAGAATTAATGTAAGAAACGTATTATTTAATGAATGTAACAAAGGATAACAAACAACCCTATCAGTTTCATGGGTTGTAGATGATATAAACACTGATGAAGGGAACTTCTCTTTTTAGAGTTTAATGACCATTTTAGAGAAAAGGACCCACCATGAGCAACTTGTAGTGCATGCTCCTAGAGCTGAGATGGCTCTTACTTGATTTTTACTTCCAAGAGTGTGGTTACTTTCAATTGCAACATATGGCACAGACGAGGATCACTCTGGCACTACAGAGTTTAAGATCCTTTGCAAAGAATATGTTCAACAATGAAGCCAAGGATGAGTATCAATGAATGTTATTGTACATAGCTGACAGTAGTTTGGTGGCATAAAAGGACCAAAGGCCTCCAAAATAGCTTAGAAAATGGGAAAATTAGTCTTACCCTTACCAAAGAATTTCCTGCAAGTACTATTCATATAGATATGTTAAATATAATTGAAAAAAATATTTCCATCAACTTTTAAACAATAGCTTTACCTTTCCATGAGATAAGTATTTCTATAAAGGTTTTATATTCACTCAAAAATGTTACAAATGCATTTGCATCTCTTCATCTAGGGGTACAAAGGGCGCGTTTTCAGGGAGCTACAGAAATCAGGAGAAGTTGCCTAACATTAAAGTGTGATGTGAAGCTGAGGTCAGTTTCCCATTTCCTAACTTTAACAAAGTTACAGTGTTAGTGTTTCCTTAGCAAGTTTCTGCCAACATTAAATGACATATGCTGTCCCTGGTTCTGGATTCCATTCTAAACACAATGGCTGAACCTGGGCCCTTCTAGGCTTCTCTGGTGAAGGTTCCCTAAGGCTGCGACTCACAATATCCACTTCTGACATTACGTTTGTCAGAAGTCACAACTGTGTTCATACTGAGGAACTGGCCATTCCTGTGTGGAGTTCTTAAAAGGACCTGTTAGAAAACCAGGACTAAAATGATTTATTCCGCGTTTATCAGAATCTCAGTTTCTTTTATCTAGTGTATATTCTCAATAGCCTATCTTATTCCATGGTTCTTGGCACTTCATTTCCAGAAGTACCCAACAGAAAATGAAAATGACCTAACTCTCTTGGGGACTGTTCAACCCCAGGTCTGTTCTTTCCTTTGGACAGGTTATCGCTATCCAGGGAATCACATTCAGGAGGAAACCTGGAAGCAGTTGAGACCAGCCCCACAGTGTGCTTCATCTAAATAAATCCTGAAAAGTTAAGAGGTTTAGGTTTCAATCCTTTTTTTTTTTTTTTTTTTTTTTTGCTGTCACAAATATCCTCCTATCACTTAAACCTTGGAATAAAAGACATCTCCATTTTTATGTAAGATAAAAATAATTATGAATAATTAGTTCTAAATAAAAAGCATTTAGTTCTGAATTACTTATTTCCAACTAAACATCAGGCATAAAAAATAATGTATAATACTATGATGGATCTGAACATGGCCTTCCACAAAGAAGCTCGAAAACAGGTATTCAACACAAATCAGATCAGTTTAAATAACATCCCTTTGAAAAGTGTCATAGAAGAAAGAGTGAGAGCTACTGAAAGATTCTGGCTTGCTTTCTGGCCTCCTTTACTTTCCTTCAAAGGGACCGCCAGGGGAATCCTCCTGGGTTTCTGGCGCGTTGATCCTTGTGCTCTTGTGCTTGGGTGAGGCTGGAACTATGTGCTCTCCTTGGGTGGCTGGGTGGGCTGTGGCAGCTGCAGTGGCTGGGTGCCCGTGGCCGTTTTGATAGAGTTCAGGGTTTTGCTAAACCAAGAGTTTTTTGCAGCTTGGATTTCATTCATCAGGGCTCCTCTCTGATGTTCAAGCTCCTAAAGAGAGAAATCACTGAAGTTATATAAATGTTTTCTCTCTGCCAAAAAATCAGAGTACAGCTTTTCAGAATCCCCAGGCCTAGATAGCCATAGTTTTCTTCCCACAAAACCCAGGAGAGATTTAATTGGCTTCTTAATGCAAGAAAAAGTTTAGAGCTAAAAGAGTTACCACTAAAAAACAGAACCTGTGCTTTCTCTGAACAGTGAAATGAAACCTCATTTTATTTTCTTTTCCCCCTGGCAGTTTAGGTCCAAATTAGGTTTAGGTTACAATCTGAGATAACATGTTTAAAACTACAATAAAATAAGTGTGTGGATGGGTTGAGTTTTTACTGACAGTGTAAGCAGGAGTGAGGTCTAGCTCCAAACCTGCAGTGTCGAGAGCAGAAACGGTTACGGACCACTGGTGCAGTGCAGGATGGCGCCGTGGCAGGAGACAGCACTGGGTGAGGATTACTGGTGGAAAGGAAATGGGGACGGTCCGTCTGAAGCCAGGGCTGTTTTCCTAATTACGTTACCCTCCAATATGGAAAGGGATTTGGCAAAATCAGATAAAGATGAAAAGAAGCTCCAAAAGAAAGAATGTGTGTCAGCCAGTGTTCAACTGTCAGGGGAAGAATGGGGGAGGGGGTTGGCCTTCCACTTTCAGGATCAGCTGTCACAGTGACAAAGTTCAACGAGAAAGGACCTTGGCGAAAAAAATCTCAGGGTAAACTAACAATGCATACGCTTAAGTTCTCACAAGATATAATTTTAATTATCAAAATTTCATCTCAAACTATGCATTTGTTTATATCAGTGTTTAAAAATACTGACAGAAAATGCAACTATGCAGGACACATTTGTGGGCAGAAAGTGTATTCCTCATATATAGTAACATCTTAGGATTCTGAGCTAGATAGGTATATTCTAAAGTACTAGAATATCCTAGACCACGAACTGTTTATTTTTTCCCATGGCTCTTCTGTCCAATCACCGACCTGGATTTTGCACTTGGCCTCCACCAGCTGCAGTTTGGTCTGCGCCAGCTCCAGCTCCATCTCCCGCAGCTGCTTCTTCAGTGAGTCTTTCTCATCATCCGATTCAACCCTTGGGGCCTCTCTGGTTATGGTCGCTGGTTTCAAAGTGCCCTCCTTGCTGAAAATGTCACTGCAGTGCTTACATGCCATCATTTTACCCTGAAATATCCAACAGGGATAACCAACATCAAACTGTAGTTCATCGCATAAACCACTTCCTGAAGAATATGATAGCATTTTTTAGACACTGCTTGTTCATCAAACGCAGGCCCATTTCTGAAGGTAATTATTTTTCTTGTGCTGCAACCAAAATGGGTATAGCCAACACAAAACCCAACTATCAAGACAGGTGCTCCTTTGTCTTGAAGTATCTCTAGAGACCCTGGGAATAGAAAGTATTATAGCATCTCTCTGAAATCTGTCCTAGAAATTCGTGCTCCCATCACTCTTATTAGATGCCAAGCCGTGTGCCATATGCTCTACATGCAGGATCTCACTGAATCCCAGAACTCCTGCATGATTAGGTACTCTTATCACCCCCATTTTGTAAATGAAGAAACTCAGAGGTTAAGTAACTTCCTACTGTAGACTGAGGAAGGTCATTATGCCTAACCTAAATCTACTCTTGTGACGAAGTATATATCCTTTTGTTCAGTTTTAAGCAAAGATGATCATTATTGTTCAAAGTAATAAAAGTAACTCTGCCACATGCCCAACTGCCAATCAAGCACATGGCACTGAACAACAGCAACTATTTTCAAGACAACGGTGTCGTTGTTTTCTTAAAATATCTCCAAAAATACTTTAGAGAGAAAAGATATTACAGAATATTTCCGTTCTGATGTCCTACTGTATGACAAGCTCAACATGTCCATAACCATAACTCTATGCCTCTCTTCACACACACACAAAGCAACTCTCCCCACACTTTTGTGTCACTGTGCATATCTCTACCCTTTCGGCCTGAAGACTGTGGTGTCATCTTTTCATTAGCTTCTCCTTCGCTCCACATTCAGCTGGTCATTAAATTCTCCCTCTACATGTCCAAGCTCTCACTGTCCCAGGCCGGAATCCCTCAAAGTCACCTTCTTCGCCCCCACTGATTTCTTTCTCTTCCCATTCATAATGCACTCTTCAGATTCCTGCATGAATATAATTCATTAGACACTTAAGAGATATCTTATAACTCTCTTAAGAACTTATAAGAATAATTAGCCCAGTACTGGCACAAAACAGATACACAGCAAGTATTCATTATATATTTATTGTTGACTAAATAAAATGTTAAAGTGGTGGCTTGTGACCTGCGTCTTAAATGATTAAAAGTTTACCAAGGGGCCGGCCTGGTGGTGCAGCGGTTAAGTTTGCACGCTCCACTTCCGCGGCCCAAGGTTCGCCGGTCTGGATCCTGGGTGCGGACCTACTCACCACTTATCGAGCCATGCTGTGGTGGGCATCCCACATATAAAGTAGAGGAAGATGGGCACAGATGTAAGCTCTGGGCCAATCTTCCTCAGCTGGGCAAGCAGTTTTATTAGGCTGAACCAGTTGAAGGAATAGATTAATTTCACAAGAGGAAGGAGGACCTTTCAGCAGAGAGAACACCGTGTGCAAAGTCACTGCGCTTTCAGAGAACTGCGGGGAGTCTGAGATAGCTCAAGCAGAGAGAAAGTGATGCAAGTGAGAGGTACAAAGAAGACTTCTCTATGGCCATGTCGTAAAGGTCCTTAAGTATAATGCTGATTTTATCCTATAGAAAGTTCATTCATTCACGTCATCAAATCCGGTGCTACATGTTGGAGACAGAGCAATGAGCCTCGTGAAGCTGCAGTCTGGCAGTCAGGCTGCAGTACTAAGGTGTGGCAGAGACTGCAGATTCCCACCCAACATCCATCTTTCCTTCTTCCTAAGTAACAGAATCTTAATTTTGTTTGGGTTGGAAATATGCCCAATTAAAAGGCACCCTTTCCCAGACACCCTTAAAGCTAGGTGTAGTCATGAAATTCTGATATGTAAGCAGAAATGTGGACGGAACTTAAAAAGGCTACCTAGAGAGAGCTCACCCAGTTGGAAGTGGGCCCTTGTATCCTTGCATCTCTGTCTGCCCTAAAATTCTACCAGGGAATGTGGGCGTGATGGCAGAAACTCCAGTTGACAGGTTTGACTTTTAGATGTCCTTGAGAATGGAAGCCCTTGCTGAGGATGTGGGTCACTAATAACTGATGAGCTGAGATCACTGATGAAACCAAAGATCTTTCTAGTCCTAACTTCTTTTATATGAGATAATCAACATCTTTTGTGTTTAAGGCAATGTCATTTTGGGATTCCTATATGTGGCCAATCTAATTCTAAACAGATACACAGAGTGATATAGACAAATTTATATTTGGGGATGCTCATTCTCATTATAGTGCAGAGGATTAACTAGAGGGGGGTGGTGATGGAGGAAGGTTGTTATTGGAAGCTATTGCATCATACTAAGCGAGATGGAGAGGGCGCAGCACTGCAGAAAGAGGAGTACAGTGTATAGTATAATGGTAAGTGTGTTGGCTAATACAGACTGTAGAGTCTCACTCCTTGGGTTCAAATCCTAGCACTACTGCTTATCAGCTCTCTGACCTTGAGGAATTGAACTACCTGTTTTGGTAATCATTATCATTAACAAGAAGATATAATAGTACCTACCTTCTCAGGTAGTTGTGAGGCTTAATGGGATAATACATGTAAAGCCTTGGAACAGTACAAACAGTAAGTGTTTAATAAGTGTTAGTTGTCCTTTATTCTGGCTAAAAACAAGTTCAAATTCCTCTTCCTGAACATCACGGCCTTTCGTTAGGTAACTCCTACATATCTAATAGTTTCCTCTATTCTTAATACCTCTAATCACACCAGTCTCCTTAAGGAGATCCCGAAATGATCATTCTTATTTCTGAGTCTTGACTCACACTGTTTTTCCAGAGTGTCCTTTTTAAATCGTTCTAACTGAATTCTATCCATCCTGCTTTAGTCCAACGCAGGTCTAAACTGATCTTTGGTCTGTAGTTCTTATGATTTTGCTTTCTCCACAACTCTGATGGTCAGTGTCATCCAACTCAGCCCTTGCTCGTAAGCTTTTGAACTATTTCCTAAGTGTTTCATGTGCATATGTATGTAACTTATTCCTGTAGTAAAATTCTAGGCTCTTTGTCAGGTATAATTTCTATAAAAAACAAAAGTCTAATGGCTATGTACATAGTAGATGCTCAATAAAACTTTTATTGACTGATGAATATAAATCCTTGTTTCATTTATATTTCCACAAAGATTTTAGTTTAGGACAGTTAACCCTTTTATGCCAAGACACTTCATCAGCTGAGTTTTGGTCAGTGTGCCTTGAATGTACAAAGAATGATGAAGGCTAAGTAGGAAGGGAGGCAAAGGCAGACCAGAAAGGGCAGACAGGAACCCAAACTGTAGCAGGTTTGGGGAGGGAGACCACCAACTCTATACTCACTAATAACCTCAGACTGATGTTTTATAACATAAAAGAAGAAAAAGACACTTTTGGAATAAAAGTCAGAACAAGGTTCACATTTTCAATTCTTATGTCTCAGATTTTCAGATTATAATTTATAAAAATATATATTTATTGTGTGCCGAGTATTAAGCTAAGCACTTTACATACATTATCTTATTTAATCTTCAGAATGACCTGATGAGGCAGGTGCTGTTATCTGTATTTTACAGAATACAAAATAAAGCTTAGAGAGGTTAAATAACTTGTCCAACTTGTTAAATTATATGCTAAAGTGCCTAGAATGCATATATTTACTAGTGTTAAACCTGAATATATTCAAATAGAATTATGTCAGGTTTCTGTAACACTGGTCCCAAGAGTTGACTGTGCCACCATTGCTTCTTAAAAATACCAATCCATTTGGTTTACTGTCGTTTCTATAGAAAAAGCAATTGCTTTTTTCAGATAGTCAACATAAGTTTTACCACCAGGGGGCAGCATTTAGATAAATGCTACAGGGTTTCTTTAAAAACCTCTAAAAATTTGGTGGAAGAATCGGTTACCCAATACGTGTTTTCCAGCCAAGTTCTACACTGTCCATGGTGTTTACTGTTTGAGAGAGCAATGGGATGATCCTACTGGGTCGCAACGAACCCACATCAATTCAGCAGAGTTGACATGCAGGCTGCTGGGGGTTCCCAGGTTTTCACTTTCCAAGGCTCAGGGGCCTCTTGTGACAACGCTGAAATCCTACCTCCTTTGCTGTTACCTGCCTCTGACAGCCCATAAGATTTATGGGAACATAATCTTTCAGCTGGCAGGAAAGAAGGTCACACCCCAGTCAGAAGAGAGATACCAGTCTCCATAATTCCCAAATCCTTTAAAACAAGTGGGGCGGGTGGGTGTGATGTCCATCCAGCCTGTGGGGCATTGTCATATATTGTGATCTTTTTATCAAGTGCTCACTTGCAACTATGTGAATGTGGAAGAAACCATATCACAGAGCTCTTTCACTCTTCCTCACCTTTACCACTTCCAGCTCCTCCTTGCTGGCTGCTTGCTGTTTCTCCAGTCTGGTACTTAACTGCGAACAGATCTAAGGGAAAGAAAAGAGTTTCTTTACTAGAAAATATAAAGACTCTTGCAGCATGTGCACACAACTGTTTATCAACTCATATATTACTCTAGCATCTCTGATGCTAGAAGAAATTCTGTAAATGAGTAGCACTGCATATGCCAGTCGTTTCTGCAATGAGCAGGAGAAAGCCCAAAAGTGTTCCATGTGTAAAGCACATCTATCTTCATTAGTAGAAAAAACACATGGGGTAGATTTGATTACTTTCTCTCACCAGCCTTCGTGACAGGTTCCAGTGAATTCCTGTCCTCACTTTGGAATCTATCTATAGAATCTTTGCTGAGTATCTACTTTGTGCAAGGTACTATGCGGGAATCTGATGAAAAGAACTTTGAACCAGAAATGTCTTCTGTCTACAGCCACAGAAGAGTCTCTGTCTTCAACTACAAAAGTTTGCTTATGAAGTGGCAGAGTGAATAACACAAAGTTAAAATGACCAGAAAATAATACAGACTAAAACTCTTACCAAGTGGTTTGGCAACATAGCATAAAATGAAAAGCCTGGAAGTCCAACTTTACTACCTTCTAGCATTGTGTCCTTGGGCAAATTCACTAATCTTTCTAAGCCTCAGTTTCCTCATGACTGAAAAGTGCTGTGCTGTGATAATCAATGGAAGAAAATGTATGTGAAGGGTTTAATATAGCATCTGGCTGACAGTAAGTGCTCATTAAATAAAATCTCATTATTACTGAAATAAGGTGCTAACAAGTACTAGGAACAGGTAGAAATAAATGCTTTCAAAGCCAAAAAAAAAAAAAAAATACTGGGAAGTTCAACTCTTGTTTAACTTCAATGAAATAAGAATCTTTTATTTATTTATTTATTTTTAAAGATTTTATTTTTTTCCTTTTTCTCCCCAAAGCCCCCCGTACATAGTTGTATATTCTTTGTTGTGGGTCCTCCTAGTTGTGGCATGTGGGACGCCACCTCAGCGTGGTTTGATGAGCAGCGCCATGTCCGCGCCCAGGATTCGAACCAACGAAACACTGGGCCGCCTGCAGCGGAGCGTGCGAACTCAACCACTCGACCACGGGGCCAGCCCCAAGAATCTTTATTTTTAAAAAATTGAATAAAAAAGTTAGAGGATGTCAAATTTTAAAGCGTAATTTATACTAAAAACATAAAAGGTCTACGTCTATTACCAAAACAACATAAAAAAAATCCCAGTCTACTCCAAAATAGTTCTAGAGACCAGGGCCTGCTTGTTGAGTTCAGTCTCCAGTTTCTCCAGATTGCAGCCTGGAAACAATGAGTAGGATTGTACCGGCTGAAGTTAAAAAGAAGTGATCTTCCTAGTAATTTTGGCAAATCACATACTCTTTTAAATAAACCAAAACACTCTGAAATATAGCCAATAATAGCCAATTCCAACTAGACAATGCATTTAGATTATGTTGTTTTATGTCCTAATTATCTTCAAACAGATGGGTCCGTTGCCTTTTACATTACTTAAAGTGCTTGCCAGATAATATTCAAGAATAGTCCCAAAGATCTGACGAGTGCTGCATATGGGCCCATGGCCTAATGTGGTGATGAAAAAGCATTTGCAGTGATGCTAAGTTCCACGGCATATGATTAATGTCTACCCACCCCTTCTCCTAGTTACTCAAATTCAGAATCTCAAGAGTGCTTTCAATGTTTTCCCTTGTCTAGAAAAAATGACTGTCTTCTATGTCTCCCTCGTCTCCATTTTCATTACTATTTATTTCAGTTCGGGGCCCTCTTTTTTCTCACCTGGACTTTGCTGTTAGCCTCTTACTGGCCTGTGTCTTTGCCTGTGGATCTCTCCACTTGGTTCCACATTTCTCACTGGGATAGGGTAGTGCCAATGATATGTCCCTGTTCACGGCACTTTCTTGTTCAAACATCCCCACTACAAACGGCCTGAAACCTAAACTCCTCAGCCTATGCCTGAAGACCTTCCTTGAACTGGGCCCTGGCTCACCTTTGCTTCTCTGCTATACTCGAAACTCTTGCCAAACAAAACTATCTCTGTTCACTCTTGTACCTCCATCCCTTTGCACATGCTGTTCCCCCGTTCCACCGTTTCCATCTTCCCCTTCCCCATCTCCACATACCCAAATCTCACCGAGCCTGTGGAGCAAGCTCAAATCACCCCTTCTCCAGGAAGGGTTTCCTCACTTCCCATAAGTAATAAGTTCCCTGTCCTCTTATTTATACACAGATATTATCTCTCCATTATAAGATCAGCTTCTGGAGGAGAGAAATTGAATTAATCATCTTTTATTCCTCCAAAGTGTCAAGTGTCACATGGAGCAGGCATTAAATAAACATATGCTGATGTTCATAAAAGAGAGTCAGTCAGCTCTGAAGCCTTCTTTCTAAGAAAATCTTCCATGAAGGGGAGGAATCCTGATGGAAAGATGTTCATAATATACGAAGTGAACTAGTTCCAAAAAAAAGCAGGAACAATTTAATTACATTTTTATTTATAGAGCAACAATGCATATGCAGTATATTACAGTGATTATTTCTAGTTGACAAGATTAAGGGGCTTTTGTTTTCTTTGTGCTTTTCTGCACTTTCCTAATTTTCCACGAGGAACATAAATTTCATTTACAAGGAGAAAAACACGTTTAAAAAGAAAAAGTAAGCATCAGACTTCTAACAACTAAATGAAGCGGGAGACCCCAGGGAAATTCTTGGATAAGCAGGTGGCGTATGGTGCCTTAATTAATTCTGGAACATGGAACTTGAACAGACCATTCAGGACCTCTCAGCAGTGAGAGAAGTCCTTGCCATTACCCAGCATGACCAGCAGGGACAGGAAGACACGACTGGAGCTGGAATGAGGGCTTTCTGGGACCACGCTGGTGAGGAGGTGAGAAACATCCTCCAGGAGAGCAGCCCTCCATTAAAAGATCATTTTAACGTTCACAACAGGAAGTTTCCTGCTAGCACTGGCATGCACTGGGTAAAGCCACATGGCCATGGGGGAAAAAGAGCTCCCACCTTCTGTAGTGTGACAGCAAAGGACACACTGATCCCCTAGCTATTGCCATTTAATACAGTCACTAAATGTTAGTCCTCGGCAAAGAGGCAGATATCACTAGTGTGGTTTACTGGCAATCAGCTTCTGAGAAGGGCAGAGACAGGGTCCCAATGGTAACAACAAGGGTTCCTCTTTCTCTAAAACTACCAAACACCATGAACAACCAACAGACTGTTCTGCTCAATTAAACCTTGCACATCGTCAGCAAACATGTCCACTACTGCCCATTTCAGATGAGAAAGTAAGCCATCAAATCTAATGAATGCAATGCAGTCATTGTTCTGGACACTCGAAAAACAAAAATGTCTTTTTCCCAAAGAAAAACAACAGAAATAATTACTTTTACAGCAACAAAAACCACAGTGGCACATTACCTGTTTATACTCGGCAATGATAGCTGTCGTCTTCTTTATTTCATATTCCGCCTTCTCTAGCTGTTTCCTGAAGACTTCTTTCAGCTAGAAAGAGTGAGAATGAGAACATCAAGATTCAGTCAAAATCTTACTAAATTGCCACAAACATCTATATTCAAGTCTGCCTGAGCCACAGTCAACAAGGTTAACACGATAACTACATAAATTTTCCTTACTAAAGTTGCATCTTGATCATTTGAAAACCTAATCATCTCCAGAGACACAGAAATCTTACCTTCTTTCATGTAATATATAAGACATATGAGCAATCCTATTATAAAATTGCTTACGCTCACAACTTGCTTTATGAATATATTGTTAAATAAGCGTCAAATCAGAAGCTATCTTTATCCTTATGAGGGTCTAAAACAAACACCCAGGTAACATTGCATGTATTCTTGATGCTATAAAGTAATTACTGAAAGAACATTCAGGCCTTCCTCCTCACAGTCCCCCACAATCAATGCTGCTGCCTCTCTGGAGGGAGGAACATGGGGTTTTGGAACTGGAGTCAGAAAAGGATGGAGGAAGATAAGAATTGAGGCAAGGGATTCGGGAACTAAGGAAACGTTTAGAAGAAGCTAAAGTGACACATAATGCGACTTGTGACAGTCACAGAAATACTAAATTATGAATGCTAAACTTAAAACCACAGTTATTTTTGTAGCCCAGCAGCTCTAGAATTCTAGGTATAGTGGAAGGGTAAGGAAATGAAAAAGCTCAGGTGCCACCAGATAAAAAGGAAAAAAATTCAATTCTTCCAAGTTGTTGACCAAACAGATAAAAAACAATTCTGGTTAATCTTTAAGTACTTAGTCAGAAAAAAACAGATGAATTCTGCATTGCACATCTCAAATCATAAATGGGATATACTCTTTACTTGCAAATTCACAAATTATTGCAATTTGTAATTGGACTTACCTTTAGAAGATTTCTAAATTTCTTTATAGTTGGTAAATTCTAAAATTCTAAAAGCAATTTCTAGGTTATACTGATTCAAATCTAGTTGTTCCTATTAGCCTCTATTCTCTATCTTGCATAAGTTAAGGACAGAAACCATAGTTGTTCCTATTAGCCTCTATTCTCTATCTTGCATAAGTTAAGGACAGAAACCATACCCTTCTCCCCATCTGCAATAAGGCCCCATTGCTTTGAACTTTGAGGCTTTGAACAAGTGTTCATCTCTCTAAGCCACAGCTTCCTCATCTGACAAATGAGGAGAATAATCTGGATCTCACAAGAGTACTATAACAATGAAAACAGGACACACACACACACATACACACACACACGAAGGGAAGAAACATGGATTAAATACATTTGCTAATAGCTTCATTCTTTATGTAAAGTACTGAAGTGGGCCTAAAAAAGGCAGGAGGTAAAGGGAAAAACAGAACCCATCAAAAGGCCTAGATCAAACTGGATAATCAGCCCCTGAAAAATTTTGAGAACATAAAAAAAATCTTGGTCCATAGTAATTGTTCAAGACTCATTTCATCATTTTCAAAAAAAAAAAAACAACCCCAAAACATGGAAGACTTTTTATAAACAATACATCCCTTCATGAGTAACTTTACCAGAACTTTTTCTGGTTGCTTGGATGTAGGTTTTTGAAATGCTTTGCGGTCTGTTTTACATTTAGCATTATCCATGTCTCAGAATAAAACTCATTAAAATAAACGAGTTAATCCTAACTGGCTGGGACGGACAGGGATGGAGAACACGGTGAAACACTCTGCTCTTCCTTAGGGAAGTGGGAAGCTCTGACTCCTGGGGCAAGAGGCCCCTCCTATGACCTATCTGGATCCTTTGCAAAGGTGGTGTCTTCCGGTGATTGGCCTCGCAACTCACCTGAAGATGGTAAAGTGCTAACTTCAAGGCCGATTCCTAAAGGGTTTCTTTTCACTCCCCCAGGGAATAAGGTTCCGCCAGGAACACTGGTGCTCCCTCTTCTAAGGCGTGAATCAGGAAAATTAAGCGTGACTGACTGAGGCAACTCCCAGCAGAGATCTCTGCAGGCCTTCAGGTTAACAATCCTCATAAACTACTTCAGAGAAGTCAATTATCTTGGAGATACAACACGAAATTTGCAGATTTGTCAGAGCTCTTGGATCATGATTCCAAGTTACTAAACTTAGAGAAAACTTAACACTCTTGCTAGACATCTCAGTAAAGGCAAATTCCTAAAAGCTGTTCAAGGGTGGAAATGTGCCTCCTCTTCTAACACCCTTCAAAAGAAATGTCGAGCCTCGATGCTACTCACATGCACTGTTTCAACAGTGCTCTTGATCTAAAATAAATTTAATGTTACTTCTTGTTTATAGTATTAATCAACTCCACATACCAACATCCCCGTGTAAAGGGAAGCCGGCCCACGCCTTTTACCTGAGCAGTCTCTTCCTCTTGCTTCCTCTTCTCTTCTTCAGTCTCCACCAGCTTCTGTTTGGTCAAGAGGAGCTCCTTATTCAACACGTCTGCCTTGTCTTCTGCCTGCAAATCAGAGCGCATCACAGTCACACAGAAGGTGAAGAAAGTCTGTGTACTTTCTCCAGTCTCCACTGATTCTTCTTCCAACATTGCTGCAAGCCATTCTTTCCCCTCCGAGCTCACCCAGAGGGTGGCTGCTGTCACTGAGTGCAAGTGAAATATTATCATATTTCTGGCTCATATTATCTCTGATCCTCATGAGAATAATTATTTCAGATAATGACAGTGAGGTTTGGAGAGATCAAATGACCTGACTGGGACACACCTCTAATGTCACAGCCATGATCTGGATTCAGATTTTGAATGGCATCAAAGCCCATGCTCTTGCTCAATGCTTTATTTATTTATTTTTATTGGGGTCACATTGGTTTATAATATTATATCAATTTCAGGTGTACATTATTATATTTCTGCTTCTATATAGACCATATCGTGTTTACCACCAAAAGTCTAGCTTCCATCCATCACTGTATACATGTGCCCCTTTACCCCTTTCGTCCTTCCATCACTCCCTTCCCCTCTGGTAACTACCAATCTATTTTCTGTATCTATGTGTTTGTTTTTGTTGTCTCCATGCTTGTCACAACAGCACTCACTCTGAGACTGTGTGGATGGATTGCGTGAGGGGTGGAGCCTCACAGAGAAGCTTCTAGCTGGAGAAGCAAGGGAGTGGATTCAGAGAGGATGAGCCGACGGGCTGATCCATGGATAACAGTTAAGTGAGAAAATTCAAAGACCAGCTCAGGTAAACTGGCCCATCAGGCTACTCACACAGGACAGTGAGTCTAGTCAGGAGAAATTAAGACCAAAAACCCATGACAGCGATAGCCCTGAAGGAAACTGATGTAGAGACCAGGAATCCAGACGGAAAAGACAATTTTTCTAGAATGGCCAAGAAAAGCTCAGAGACCATACTCTGGTCTTGGATACAGAGCCAAAATTAACTACGAAAGCACTGTGTGTCTATTTAACTTCGTAAACAAGTGTCTATTTTACACTTTAGGGCACTTACTTCACCCTTTAGGTCTCAGCTCAAGTTTACATCTGCTGGGAAGCGTGGCCTGAACCCCGTCCCACACACCCTCATCTCAATCAGTTCCTCTGTTTAACTCTCTCATATTTCCCTTGACAGTACTTAAAGTACAATCTGTAGTAACAAATTACATGTGTGATTTATGTTTCTTGCCCACTAGACTTTAAGCTCTGGGAGGCAGGAACTGTTTCTCTTTTGCTCGTCACCATATCCCCAGCACCTAGCCCAGTACCAGGTCCAGAGCAGGTACTCCACAGTATGTGATGCACGAACGCATGTGGCTCTTTAAGGCACTGCAGAAGTGGACTGTGTGGAGTGGACGTGGCAGAGGGCCACTGGATGAGTTCAGCAGAGAAAACCACAGACGTAGAGGAGAGGCAGCTATTTGAAGAAGCTACCCCTGGCTGACAGCAGTGAAACGTTATCCAAGTCATCATGCAAACTGGCCAGGTGGCCTCTGTCTGTGTTTTGCCATATCTCCCACGTGTCCAGATGGCCAGCAGCACAGTCTGCTCTGTCCTGGCAGAGGAACTGCATTGCAGCCTCTCTGTTCGCACTGCCTTACGGTTCCTGACACCCCATATCCCAGTGGTTATAGCTCTGTTTTCAGTTGATCTGGAACTGTTGGGTAGTTAAAGTGAAAAGGTCCCTTTTAAAGACTCTAAAATTTGTTCTGATACATTAGATTTTAGGGGGGAAATCGATACAGCAAAAGAATATCCTAAAATTAGAGGTGGGCCTCAAAAAATGCAACATTTACGTTGCAAGCTAAGTTTTCATAAATTATAAGATGCCTGGTGTTAAGTATGGAAATTGGGGATCCTAGAGCTCACGCCAGACGACTGAGGTTCCCCACCAAGCAGGACGACCCTCTGCAGAGTCTCTGACGGAGGGTCACAGAGTGGCGAACCAAGGGCAGCTGTGCTGATCACTGTAGTGTTCTTGAAACTCTAACCAAACCCACCTCCCTGCCACTGCAGCCCCCTGTTCAAGGCCTACCCTGGCATATCCGGGTGGCAGCCCTGCCAATAAAGGAGCCTGCAATGTAACCTCCCCTTACAGTACCCTCAGAAACCTCCATTTGGTGAAGAGAAGAGCCCCTTTAGAATATACATCACGACACTCTGAAATAAGTGTTTTCTAAGTTAGGCTTCTTAGAGAGAGATACACCCAAAATTTTAGCCTTTTGTAAACTTCTGAATAGTCAATGCTATCCTGACATTCAGTAACAAGTTTCTTAAATTCTTCAGTGTATCTAGACATTTTATTGTTTAGGAAATGTCTGTGAGGAAAGGTAAAATAAAAAAGTACTTCTCTGAGGAAATTTTTAATAAACATCTAAATATTTATGATGAGAAGACCTATTATTTTTATTTACACATTTCTGCTGCACATTCTTCACTAGGCCAAGGCGAGGCAAGCTCCCTCTATCTCTGCTGTTATCAGATCTGACATCTGCAGAAACTGCTGTGGCTCCTTCACGGGAGGAGTTCCAGAGTTTTCCAAGGAGCTTCAGCCAAAGTTTCTCCTCCATGTGATACAGTGAAATGGGAGTGATTCTTCTGCTCACCACAACAGGACCAGATCTGAAACAACTTGGTTCTCCCTCTAAAAATGGTCTTCTGGGTCTTTGTATAGCCAACCTCTATACCTCACTTAAGTAGAAATCATCTTTGATGTCAAATGAATCTCTAGGAACGTAACAATAAAGACAGATACTCAAATTCTATCTTTGAACCCAAATTATAAAACCTTCACCACGATTTGATAAGACTGAGTGAACCACTGTCATTCTAGTCTTCTAATCACTTACCAACATCTTATAATACCTTACTGATGCTGCAACTTCTAATTCCTATTGAATGCTTCTCTGACATTTACATGAGAGAAACAAGCACCGCGATGTGTGATTTAATCATGAACTGACCTATAACCTGATCAAAAGGCTCAGCTCTAACATCATGGATGAGGACATTCCAGAAAGAACTAGCCAAGCCAGTTGTTCAATTTAAAACAAAAGAATCTGCCACATACTACATGTAGCTTCTGGTCCCACACAGAACTTGCTGTGGTTAGAAGGGAGGTAGGCACAGGCTTCAGTGGGAAAGTACTGGTTGTGTTTCTTCCTTCTGTTCCATGGGAACAAGAAAGGACAGGAAGGGCCTGAAAGCAGGTAGCAACAGAAACTGAAATGGAGATGTTGTATCTTTTTTCATTTCTAATCACTGAGAAGTCCTTATTTAAGGAGTCTGAGGGAGGGCGAGTTGTTAAAAGAGATGGGTCTGTCAGAGAGAAAACTTAAGAGACTTTGATGCCCAGGAAGCCTGAAGCCAGCACCAAAATGACAGGGTAAGGAATATTTTTTAAAAGTACCTAACTGCATAAAATTATTGTTTGTTTTCTTCACATATTGTCTCAAATACAATCTGCTTTCAGGTTTGTTTAATGTTTGCCAAAGTTCTGCTATTTTAATTAAAAGATCTGATTTTGATAAAATAGGAATGGAAAAGTACTGGGCACACTAGGCGAAGGCAGGCAAACCAGCACTTCCACTGGCAGGCTAACGCCCGTCACCGAGCCCAAAGGGCAAGACAGCGAAACTGCAGGGCCAGCGTTTTGATGCGCAAATAAGCCCCACTCAGGCAGAAAGTGCAAAATCAGATGTTAGGAGGATGAAATAGCATGAATTGCATGAAATAGCAATTTTTATTCTTTCTTCTCCATAATAGGCTTCAAAAGGCAGGGGCCAGGTCTTATTTACTTTTTAAAAAAGAGACAGAGAGGTAGGAAGGGAGGAAATAAGAGAGAGAAGGAATAAAAGAAAGAATGAAGGAATCTTTTCTTCAGGGACTAATTTAGCATCCACATGAGGTAGCCAGAGACTCAAAAATACATTATCTCAGGAGTACCCTTGGAGCAGTCATTCCAGACTGACCCACTAAATGGATTTTCTTGGTGGTGAAACAATTTTTTTAAATAATATATTTTTGGGGGCTGGCCCTGTGGCCAAGTGGTTAAGTTTGTGTGCTCCGCTGCAGGCAGTCCAGGGTTTCGTTGGTTCGAAGCCTGGGCGCGGACATGCCACTGCTCATCAAACCACGCTGAGGCAGCGTCCCACATGCCACAACTAGAAGGACCCACAACGAAGAATATACAACTATGTACTGGGGGGCTTTGGGGAGAAAAAAGGAAAAAAAGAAAATCTTTATTAAAAAAATAATAATAATAAAAAATAATATATTTTCGCTGATTATTAAAAAGCTATAATGCACATTATTACTTAACCAAGGGTAGTTATTAAAAGTCTTCTTATAAAAGATAAATAATTGAAAAAATTAAAAGTATAAAGATGAATATAAAAATTAGATTTATACTTATCACCCAGAGACATCTAGTAGTAACATTTTGATGTATTTCCTGGTGGCTTTTTTCCTGTGGAGGTATAGTCTAGCCTCCCTTCCTACATGATGGCCCTAGGCCAGCCATATCCCTTGCAGCTTAGACACAAACATTATATACAGATAAACTTACTGTTTAAAAAAATTATTATATCATTATCTTCCCTTTGTTTTTAAAAACTATTCCAAAAGGACATTTTACAGTACACTTTCATTCTCCCCTTCTATTGGACACATACATCACATTTCTATTTTTTAGTACACTGCAGTAAACAACCTTGTATATATATTTTTGACCAAATCTCTATTTTTTTAGGATAGCTTTCCAAGTCAGACAATATATATGTCAGTTTTCTCATTTATAAAATGGAGGATTAAAATAATACCTGCTTAATGGAGTCATTAGGAAGATTAAATGAGATAAAGCTTAAAAATTGCTAAATATTGTGCTTGGTGTATAGTAGGTACTCAGCAAATGTTTAATTTTATTTTTTAGACCTCTTAAAGGCTTGATATATATTACCGAATACGTTTCCCACAGAACTTTCAATTTACAACCCTTCCAGCTTATTTCACTGCATCCCTACCAAGTCCAACTGCTTAAAACTTTTTCATTTAGTTTGCCATCTTAAGAAAACTACTAATGGATAAAAGATTCAAAATGGCAGAGTCAAGGCCGTCTGGAAAGCTAATAAGGAACCAAGAATTTCAGGATAATAATGACTCATCAGTATAGTCTCATTAATACAAAAATGTACAAGAGCTGAGTTTAGGCTGGGTGTGGCTCTGACTCTCTGAGTCACAAGTTTTTCATACTGCCTCTAACAACTCCCAAATAGGCTGCCTGAGTGGGGTTTGTGGTTAAAAGGGCCACCCCCTACCCCACCCCTCTGCCCAACTGGGCTGCTTTTTCTACCTTTCACATCCTGTGTCCCAAGCTGCAGAGTTTTTGTTTTATTTTCAAACTCCATTTAGTGTTGACTCCTTCAGTTTCCTCCTCTCCCCCTTTAGCACGATTTTCCTTAACAGTGATCTCCTATGTTACTGTGATTAAAACTTTTTTTTTGGTGAGGAGGATTGGCCCTAGCTAACATCTGTTGCCAATCTTCCTCTATTTTGTATGTGGGATGCTGCCACAGCATGGCTTGGTGAGTGGTGTGTAGGTCTGTGCCTGGGATCCAAACCTATGAACCCCAGGCCACCAAAGTGGAGTGAGTGAATTTAACCGCTATGCCACTGGGCCAGCCCCATGTGGTTAAAACTTTTGAGCTGCAAAATTAGCTGTTTATATGGGAAAAAGGAGCTGTGGCAGGGATTATCTTTAAACATTTAAAAAATTCCTTCAATTTTAAACATTCAATCATTTATATTAATGCATTTGTATTTTAAATATTGTCAATGCATAGTTAGAGCACAGATTCAACAGTCTGTCTCAATTTTTCCGACACTGAACCATTTGTTGGGAATATTCACTTTTTAAAAGTCAGAAAATAGAGTGACAATTTTAAATCTGCACAAGACTCTCTCCACACTGCCAATTATCTCCAAAGACACCAGCAATAGAAAACAGGAAGTCCTCAGGCTATCAGTACTCTTGGAAAGAAGGAGGGAAATTAAACAATTTAAGGTCTTCCTAGCAATAGCTAAGGTTTATTGAACACATACAATTGTAGTGCTGTATGTTATTTAACTCTCACATCATCCCTAGGAGGTAAAAACTGTTTCACACCTACAGGCAGGTTAAGAACTGCCCAGGGTCACAGGGTTAGTGAGTGGCCATGCCAGGATTCACATGCAGGCTGTCTTGGCTCTTAGCCACTAGGATGCCCGTCACCTCAACAATATACGTATCCTAATGTACATACTTCATATAAAATCTTCACATTTATTGTAGACGCAAATACTTTTTGGAACAAAAAGTATAAGTGCCTACCACTGTTAGAGGGGTAGTGGTATACTTTTGACGACTGATATTCTCAAGTAATTATGCTGGCAGCCCTTGGTTTGGGAAAATACAGATTAAGAGAAGAGACACCAGAGAAGTTTAGAGGTATAAAAGGAAGAATGTCACACGTGCTGTTTGGAAATGACCCACACTTGTCTCAAAGGCTTCTGTTTTCTCCCCTCTCCAATTCGCAAGAACAGTCCCCTCCCACCTGCCACCCATCCGTTCATCCATCCAGAAGTTCACTCAGAGTCAAGTACAGAGCAAGCCCCAGGGGGACTGCAGTGAAAGCAGCTTGGTCCTTGCCCTTGAAGAGGCCATCACAGTCCTATCAAGTTTACCTGATCCAAGTCATTCCGTAGAGCAATTTTGCTGGTTACAAGTTCATGGGCAAGGTCATCATTCTCTTGTTCCAACCTCATGCTGGCCTCCTGTAATCTCCGGTTCTCCCTCTGCAGAAAAAGATCAACAGCCAGAAGCTGGCATTAGTGCGTGGATGGACTAACAAAACAAACAGAATTGGTGAGGAGAAACAAGCAACAACAACAAAGTGAACTTTTGAAGGTGTAAAAAGGAGAAGGTGCAAGTGGCACAGGAAGGCAGGACTGCTGTCTGGAAACAACGGTGAGTTAAGCTGGCAGTGCGGATGCGGTACTCCACCCCGTGAAACTTACAACTGTCCCTTCCACCCTCCAGACAAGACTTCATTTTAACAACTGGGCCACAAAGAGCAAAATTTCCAAACATACCCCCAATCCTGTGAGGTTTTCATACAGACCTAAAACACAGACACAGGCAATTCTTTGTTTGAAACATGCACAATAATCCCACCCTTGACCTCAAAGGAAACTGCAAGACACGGCAGGGATGAAATGGGGGGAAAACACTAGACATTTCTTCAAATTGTTTTCCCAATATCTTTAAATTATTTGAGTATATTAAAGAGCCCTAAATCAAGAATCAGTATACATGGGTTCAAGACTTTGCTATCAACTGACATTTTCATTTTTTGGGTAGGAACATATTTACTTTTCTGAACACCAATTTTTGTGTTAGTAAGGACAATGGTCCTGATGATAATGTCTCTAAACGTATGTTTGGTTTTTTTTTAAACTTAAGATTAAAAGATTCTGGGTAAAATACATTAATGAGTTTTTTTTCCCCTTGAATTTCCAGGAAAAATCTGAAACAAAGTTTCAAAGAACCAAGTCACTAATTCCTATGAAGTAAGGTCTCCCCTTAGCTAGCCATTACAAACTGTGCACATTCACATCTATTGTCAGAATAGCAATTTGGTGTCTTCCATTCGAAAGTATCAAAAGTGCTTTCTTTGCTACTGTTAATAGTTACAGGAGATTCAAAAGAAGCTGACAGGAAAGACATCAATGTGATGAGACCTTCCTGTTTTTCAGATTCATACTCCTAATAGTCTTTATGCAAGGGTGGCAAAAACTCAGACAAAGCAGTGTTGCACGACCAGACGACAAACGTATGCCCCGGAAGACGGTGTATTATAACACGGTGGGAGGGGTGAAGTGAATTTTTTTTTCTTTTTTTTTAAAGAAGGACTGAGAAGCAGGCGGTAAGGGCAAAGCCTAAGGCTTTCATGGAGGCAAAGGACCCAAAACCAGGGCCAGTCGGGAAGCTAATGGACGAACATGCACTTTGACTATAACCAGCCACCAGGGTCCATTTCTGTCTTTTCTTTTGGAAAAGGTAGACTGGGAGAGCTAGAGAAACATTTTTGAAAAAGGTATCTACTAAAAAAGATAAAAACAAACCAAAATCACTTAGGTACTTTTAAACAAATTCATGATAGAATTCAATGCAGTGTTAAAATATAAATGACAAATCTCTAACGACAGAAGAAATGCTTATGCTACCTTACAGAGAAAAAAAGACAAGTAACTGGAAAATCTCATTTTCATAACAACATGAATAACATTAACTGTGAGTAGTGGGTTTTTATTGTTGTCTGTGCTTTTAAAATGTTTTCAAGATTTCTACAATAAATATATAATACATGTATTTAAAAAAGTCTAAGAAGTCATTTAAAAAATAAAAAGTAATTCAGAATTTCAATTCCATTGGAAAGGATAAAATGCCAAAACAAGAAATTTTTTCAAGTCCACTCCTGTTATAGGCTCACATTCCACACGAAACCATACTGGATCGTCCTTGGTGGCCAGTATACACTGTAGCCCCTCAAAAGTGCCACCTTGCCAGGAACTCTTTCCCAAGAGATTCCTGAAAAGACAGCATACATATTTGTAGGAGCAAACTGTACTCATCAAATTTTGTCTGTCCCCTTGATACACAGAAGTTCCAGCCTCCCACAGAAGCATAAAAAAAAAAAAGGAGACTAAAATATAAAAAAAAGCCACGGTGCCTACAGCTGAATCTTTCAATCTTTGCTGAAATATCCAAATTCTAGCAGGGGCTGGAGAATTAGTCGTTCATTCTGATATATCTTACTATTACCCCTTTTTGTGCAAACAACTTACATACTTGTTGAAAACTTAGGCTAAAAAAAAGTTCCAGAAACTTTTCCAAAAAATTTCCTCCTTGCCAAGAACAAGCAGCAATAGCCAGCACAATTTCATCACATTGTTTCACAATGCAGACTGCCTAGATAGGGAAGAGATTTTTCTCATTTCTCGATAAATCTCTTCAAAAGAGACCATGATAAGACTACTCCAATACCTGTTCCTGAGTTATGTCCTATTTCTACTGAAATTGTACTTGCAGGACTCCAAACTACAAAAGCTCCCTCAACTATTTATTTACATTAATTTGGCACAAGTGAAAATATTGCAGCTACCAGTTTTTCAGGTTACAGTGACAAAGGCTTAGAATCGAGTTAAAGTAACCTCCAGATAAAGTCACATGATGCTCGTGGAAAAGCACTCTGTTAAAAGTATTTAAAAAACACAACAGGTAGCTCTTCACTATTCATTAGATAAATGTCTGATGGGTTATATTATATAAGAAAGAGATGTGAGCTCGGCTGAAATTCTGATTAGTAACTTCCCATTACGATGCTATTGCAACTTGAACCCTTCCTTATAGACACACAGCTCAGGGGATAGGGGGGTGGAGCAGGAAAGATTTGGGAGAAATTATGAGTGTCTGAGGGTCCCTTACAAGCAGAATAGCCTAGGGGGCATGCCTACTGGCTTTTGCTTTAGCAAGAAGCTTCAGTTCGGTGTCTGCAAAGCAAGCAGCACAGTGGAAGTGAGACTCCTGCTCTGCACTCACAGACACGTGGGAAAGCAAGCTACGGGGTCGAAAATGCAGTATCGTCCTCCAAGCATGAACCCGAGGGCAGCGAGGGGTCCTCGGGAGTCCTCCGGTGCTACCGGGTGCCACAGTGAGGCACTGCTACTGAGATGGGGATTTTCTATGAAGAAGAACCTGCCCGCACTCACCAAGGGTTAATGAGAGATGACATTACCTGGCTGTCTTTTCCAGCCTTTCTTGAGGAGCCAAAACTGTTTTTAGAACTGACTGATTCAAGAAAAAGTTTGCCTTTATGCTCGAATGGGGAAGAAAGTTTAGCTTTGCTGGGCTTGGGAAAGGGAGTAACCTTGCTTGGTTCATTTTGAAATGTTGGCAAGGGCTGCCCACTGAGATAGACCTGAAGCCAGCCCCGTTAAGTTCAGTCAGTCCAGACTCACATGCTGTACGTCTGCACAAGCAGATGTGCTGAATGCTCAGAGCCCATAAACAAAACAGGCAAATCGCTTCCCTCGCCTTTCAGAAAAGACTACAGGAGACCATGCTTACATAACCCTTAAAACTCACATCACACTGTTTGAAACATCCACCATCTCACACAATTGACACCATTTGAACAAAAAGCAGACAACTTTCCTCGTTACTTCCCTCCCCTCTTGCATAGGAGACGTGCAGCTGGGAAAGCTTGGTTAGTAACTTTCGGGAGGAGGATACTGCATTTTTCAGAAAGACAGACGCTGATAGTACAGACACACATAGATAAAAAACTTACCTCCTCAAAAGTCATAGACCAACTACCGTTTTCAATCATAGGTACAAAGACAATTGAAAAAAAAAAAAGAATATCCAATGAAATTGCACACCTACTAATACATTTAGGAAATGGCAATAACAAAAACAGACACTTATTAATGCTATTTTGTTTGTCCTTAAAGTGTCATAAACTCTAAGTTCTCTCTATGACTGCAAACATTTGATGGAAAAAATATACTTGAGGCAGCCAGTGGGCAAGTCTCAACTCAGGAAGACTGACTGATACACTAAACTCCTCCCTCTCCACACTGCTATTTGCAGTTTGCATGACTAACGAAAACGCTGTATGTGGAACTGTTTGCAACTATGGTGAGTTGTTTATACAGTGTTATTAAAGCTGGGTGGAAGGAACTTCCTTCTATGACAAGGTCGGAAAGCTTGCAAAAGAGTTCATCTTCAGACAACAGGATGAAATTGCTGGGCAGGGGAACGTGAAAGAAGGACCGATCCCAGGTCTCCTCCCTGTCTAGGGACTGAAGTTTGGGTGAGGCAGTGCGAGCGATGGTGAACGTCATTTTTCCCAAGATGAGAAAACAGACAAATGTGAACTGGCAATCAAAAGAAAATACACTAAGCCTTTCAGGAAAAAATGATGGGGAAGCAGGCGGCTTTAGAAACTCTAGCTCGGTATTTTGGGTGTGTTGTCTGCTGCTCTAACGAATTCTTGGCACACATTTTTAAAGACATTTAGGGGTCAGGAGAAAATGTCTTCTTAAAAGATACAGTGCAATTTCATCAGCAACAACACTCAACTCTCACATATTTTCTTTTGGATACCTCTTTCAAACGAGTTGATAATCATCATATTCAAATTTTATCAGCTTTTTGACATTCAAAGAAATGTTTAAATGTCGATATTGTCTATAAATGAAGATTTGAGAAAGAAAACCTGGATATTTGAAATCATTTGATGCTCTTCCTTTACCCAACATATCCAATTTTATCTTTCCAGTGGAAATTTAAAAATTTTAAATGTCAAACTAAAAACAAAATCTAGTCAGTGATAACTAACTGGCAGTTGGTAAACCAGACTGCATTTCTTTTAGCTCTTAAAAAGCAATCTTAGATTATACTCTAGCACAGGGGTCAGCAAACTTTTAATGAAAATGCCCAGACAGTAAACATTTCAGGCCTTGCAGGCCATATGGTCTTTGTTGAGACTACTCAGCTCTGTCATTGGTTGTGCAAAAGCAGTCACAGGCAATAAGTAAACAAATGGGTGTGGCTGTGTTCCAATAAACTTTATTTACAAAAACAGGCAGTGGGCTAGATTTGGCCCACAATTTGCAGATCTCTACTCTACTCTAGCATACAAATCAAATTTTGAAAAAGCAAATGGGTTACAGATGATGTAGAAATGTATGAGTGTGACATCATTTTCTCAGTAATATTACTTTAAAGGAAATAAAACTTAGTAGAAATTGAAGGAAATTTTTGGAGAATTAATTCTGAAGATTATCAATAAACACACTTAGAAATTCTTAATATACATAACATTTACAGCTCCAGTGTAAAGTCTAGCTCAATCGGCAGACAAGCATCATCAGACACCACCTGCTCCTTCTTAGCTAAGTTGCTCAACAGGCCTCAAGAGGGCTGAGGCTTGCATCTTCCATTGTCCTACAACGATGAGTTCATCGGTGATCCAAGCTCGCAAAGGAAGAGTAGCAGCCTTCTGAAGTTTACCATGAAGTTATCACACGCAGGTAGAAACCATCCTCTCGACTCTCACCATTCATTAAAAGCACGTTATTTCATACCAAAAATATTTCCAAAAGCAAACAACAGTCTTCGTGATGTGGAAAAATAATAAAATATAAATGTATTTTCACTGGTAGAAAAACATTTTTCAAAGATGGATTCCCTTATCTTGAGTTGTTTGAGTAAGGAAGGGCCCAACACAGTAACAAAAGGGAAACCTTTTATTATTTTTTTTTCCAGGTAAGAAGGTTAGCATAACTTAAACTTCACGTGTCAAGTTAAAAATAAAATGTGATAATTACTCTAATTTATTTTATTAGATATGTAAGGAAGGCAAATAATACAAGTACAATTAAGCTTTACTTCAAATATTTTGCTTGTATTGTTTTTACTACATATAATTAAACAGCTTAATCTTAAATTACATGCAGGGACAACTGCTCTATGAAAATTAGTATGTGCAAGAAAAACTCTTTGTAGGCTTAGAGGAATCATCTTTTTTCTGCTTGAATTACATTTTGATTAAAAAAATTACTATGTCTAACCTCAAGAAGGAAGTTAAACATTGTAAATTTAATTATACTGAACATGGATAAGATACTACAATTAGAAATTAAGTATTTATAATACTCTTTGTGTCCCAAACCCAAGAGAGTTTAAGCATTCTTGAGTCTTTCTAGGATTTGCCCATCTTGGACAGGTAATAACATAACCTTCGTTATGCTTTGGGAGATTCGCTGAATTTAATTAATTAGCTGTGCTTTTTAAAGCTTAACCTACATTTGTGCAAGTAGTCCTTTAATTAAACAAGAGAAGCACGTCATCTTCTAGAGACAAATGAAGACTGCAGTTCTTTAAAAAAGTGCCATCGATAGATTACATCACTAGAATATTAACTCTCCCCAAATGGAAACAATTCATCTCTTTAAAATAGAAAGTAACATTTTAATTTCTGAAATTGGCAACTGCTTATTAGGTGCTTGGCTAATTTTTTAAATGTACGAAAGCAGCTACACATATGCACGAATGTTTGTTTTCTGCGGACTTGTATGAAACTGAAAATGTACATAATGTATTTCTACCAACAAATCTTTATCCTGCATTTTACTTCATTGAAATCAATAAATAAATTTACAAACCAAAATATAAGAGTAAATAAATACTACTATACAAATTTGGCCAGGTAAAACTGAAGGACGATAAAAGAGGCTTAGAATAAATATTCTATATTCTTCTTCCAATAAAATTTCCTTGGTATTTCTTGCAATCTAGTCATGTAGATAAACAGGAGTATACCAAAGGCTGTAAGCAGTCATGCCAGAGCTTGCTGAGTTTCAAATACAACCGATGCCAAAACCAGGTAGCATAGCCAGTGTGAGTACATGTGTATTACCTACTTGAATATGCTTATGTCTGTGTGTGTGTGTGTGTATATATATATATGTGAAAATGAATGTACCACCTATTTATGTTGGCCATTCCCCTATAAGTATGGGTACACAAAGGATCTATAGTCAATAATTAGCTCCAATTCTGACAGGAAGGTCTCCCTCCCATGAGTTTGGCTTCTGCACAAGTACCTCTTGCGTGACTTGGGCTTTATGAAAGGAGGATGGTAGGGTGCATGCCAATCCTCTTGGAACAATTTTGCTTGGATTTTTTTTTTGTGTGTGAGATATAAATCACATACAATAATATTCATGGTTTTCTTTTTTTCTTATTGAGGAAGATTAGCCCTGAGCTAACTGCTGCCAATCATCCTCTTTTTGTTGAGGAAGACTGGCCCTGAGCTAACATCCGTGCCCATCTTCCTCTACTTTATATGTGGGACGCCTACCACAGCATGGCGTGTCAAGTGGTGCCATGTCCGCACCTGGGATCCGACCTGGCGAACCCCGGGCCGCCGAAGCAGAACGTGCGCACTTCACCGCTGCACCACCGGGCCGGCCCCAGTATTCATCTTTTTTAAATGTGCCATTCAGTGGTTTTAGTCTACTCACAAAGTTGTGTAACCATCACCACTACCTAATTCCAGAACATTTTCATTGTGCTTAGGGTTCTAAAATATAAATTTATACTAACACCATTTCATCTCTTTCTTTGTGGTTGAGATTTAAGTGTTAGATACAGGTGAGTATAATGGCAGCAATGTGAGAAGGTAGGTATGTGCGTATGTCATAAAAATAGACACAAAATGTTTAGATAGATACAGCCAGAACATGACTGCTGAGAACTACCTCTGCATTATTGGATCTTTAACCCCACCTCTGGCTTCCCTGCAATAGCCCTTTTTTATGCCACCACGCCAAAGAGAAATAGCATCAAACTGAAAAATCTCTTAGAATATCTTATTGTATGACATTTCTGGGCCTTTTTTTTTTCAATTGACTTTCCTAACTTCCTTGCCATAAGGCAAGCTACAGTGTAGACACAGCATTTTAAGCAGTATGGATCCTAAAGGCTGAGGAGGGGGTGTTAGTGAACTGGTTAAGTTCTCACTCACGTCCTCAAAGATCCTCCCAAGCTATTTTTAAGGATTTATAAAGCCAGGTTCACAGTCCAAGGTTTATTAATTATAAAGTGTTCATTCCCAGGCCATGGATCTTATTCTTGACAGGATTAAATTTAGAAGATGCTAAAAGGTATTTTCTAAGACAGTTTCCTACTTTAAGATAATTATAATTAACTTCTTAAACTAGATATTGAATATCTGAAAGAACAAATCTGTTGATGGCTGAAAACTATGCTGTCAATTGCCACTGTTTGAAATTGTAATTATAATTTGAGGAGTATAACTTTATCAAGTATATCACCAGTACAAATGTCTAGACATTATTAAAAGGGTATAGAGATATTAGTTAGATGATGTATTGGGAGGCTATTATGATAACACAAAGGAAATAGCTATAGAGGGCATCTGATATGTAGATATCAGCTATGTAGATATGAAGAGGCTATAACACTCAAAAGTAGCATCTGTTTTCAAAAAAAGAAAAAAAGTTTAATTCTACTTTGATCTTTCAGTAAAAATTGTACACATAGTCTTATGTGCGATAAGTGCTTTTTAAAAAATACTATACATTGTACTATTTATCTATACATTTCTGCTTTTAAAAAAGGATTTAAGAAACAACAACAAGTTCAGTCCCAGATTGATGTTTTAAATACACTATTTTAGTCTTTCATTTCTCTCCTCTTTTAAAGCACTCTTCCCAGATTTTATTCATACTGATGGCAGCAATAAGAAAGTCAGAATGATAGAAGCAGTGGGAGGGCTTCATTTTGGATCCTCAATAATATTTTATAATGACTACTTCAAGCCCTTCTAAAGCAGCATGCTACATGAGCTATATTAAAATTGGTTTTATTGAGAGGTGGTGGTGGGGAAACTAGCTTCAAACCCTATTCTATGAGCGCCTATGTGTTAATAGTTATTTACCCTGACAGTATGTGGGGTTTTATTATCAGTTCTTTAGCTAGAGCTATAAATAAGAAGAGAAACAGACTGATGTCAGATTATTGGGTAGCAATACTTGGGAGAAATATAAGGAAGATAAGCGAGGGGCTGGCTATTTTAGTAATATTTGGGTAATTCGAGGCAGTAGGCCTACTAAGGCTAACAACAACCATTTATTGAACACCAACTATGTGCTGGTACTTAACATACAACATCCGTCACCTTTACAACAGTCCCTCAAGGAAATGCATACAGTGAATGTCTCACAGATGAGGAAGAGGGCCAACACCTAGTCCCAGATGCTGAGCAATGGCACAGGGAGTAAAATCCCCAGCCTGGATTCCAAATCCTGTGCTCCTGTTTTGGAAAGCTAGGATTTGAACTCAGGTCTAACCACAAAATCAATATACTCCTTCCACCATGCCCCTCTGTGACCCTTCCATGCTATTCAATTCAGCGACAGAGACAAGGTGTACATCTGACTGTATCTGCTCATGTCCAGCTTCTGACCACACAAAGGCAACTCTAGTTACAAAAGTGGATGTCATCCCACTGTGGGTAATTTAATTAATAATCCCACCCCAAAACTTTTTCTGGCAGGATATTTTAGCATTGGTGGTGCTCAGTGTGAAAATACAATATTCCCTTATCCTAATGTACTGACGTGGACAGGCAGGGAACCACGATGCATCTGGAGGAATCTGAAGAATTAAAACACGTGGAAGAGAGATGATAATATTTCACTCGGAGAAATAAGTTCAAAATCAGTGTTTCCCAACATTGCATCATGGGAACAGTGTTGCTAATTACCACTGAAGAGATCTACCTTTGTGAATGGCCCAATTTTTAGAAACACTACAATTAACTAAGCTATTAAACTGAAATGATTTTGATTCTGAAACTGCATAGTGTAGTGAAATGTCACTGTTACTTGTAAATTTGTTTGTGGAAATAAATGTTGCAACAAACACCAATACTGTGCTCGATACGCCTTTGTGGTTTTTATTTCTCCTTCCAAATGAGTTTGTATTTTTAACATTTGCCACAGACAGAGGTAAGTCTGAAACTTTCTTGTGCCAGCCTTGGAACAGTTCACCTTCTAAAAGTCTTTGTGGATGTGACCGTGCACAGCTAAAACAGTACTTTGCCATTTTCTTTTTTTCCTCATTTTTGAAAGTAGTTGATAGCCACTTTCTTTCTTTTTCCCTTTCTCTCAGCTTCTTATGAAGATTCTCAGTATAAATGCAACAGGTGGAGTTACCTACAAATATACAAACTGAAAGAAAAGAAATATTATGGTTGGCTACTCAAGAGTCTCCTGAAATGCAAACATACCTGGACATTTAGCATGGTCAGAGTGTCTACGTCAATAGAGAAGGAACAGAGGGAACTGAACGTGCCACAGCTGCTGCTTAGGGTAAAGAAGGCACTTTGCTCTGACAGGAGGCCCATGGCTCCCATACCTTGTATCTATCCATGGGGTCTTCCTGCTGCAGCTGGCTCTCTCGCATTGTCTGATATTCTTTCTCATATTTCTTCAGCTTCTTGGTTGGTACCTGCAAGGATCAGAGGAAAAGAATGCTAGATAAGGAGATCACTTAGGAAAATGTTTTCTGATGTGTTTCCTAACTAAGTCCCCGGCATTTTAATGAAGCATATCCAATTCAAAGTTAAGGAGCAAAAAAATCTAGATTCTAGAGCAGGGGTCTGCAAACTTTTTCTGTAGAGGTCCAGATAGCATATATTTAGGCTTTGTGGGCCATACGGTCTAGGTCGCAACTCTTCCACTCTGTTATTACTGCTTAAAAGTTGCCATAGGTTATACAAATGAGTGTGGCTGTACTCCAACACAACTTTATTTACAAAAATAGGCTGCAGTTTGTCCATCTCTCTTCTACAATATTGCTTATATGTCATACCTTTTTCTAGTTAATGTATTTAACAGTGCTGTTACTTCTGTTAACTACTTTTCTTTAAGTAAAATTCACTCATGATCTTCTACCATGTTGAAAATGAAAACTATTATTTTATAAAAATAAAAAACTGAGGGGCCACCCCGGTGGCGCAGTGGTTAAGTTTGCACATTCCGCTCCGGCGGCCCAGTGTTCACCAATTTGGACCCCAGGTGTGGACCTATACACCGCTTCTCAAGCCATGCTGTGGCAGGCATCCCACATATAAAGTAGAGGAAGATGGGCACAGATGTTAGCTCAGGGCGAGTCTTCCTCAGCAAAAAAGAGGAGAATTGGCAGCAGATGTTAGCTAAGGGCTAAATATTCCTCAAAAAAATAAATAAATAAAAATAAATAAAATACAATAAAAAAACAATAAATAGAAAAACTGAGCAAAAAAATAATTTTTCAAATGGAATTAATATACTAGAGAGAAGGAAGATTCTAAAGCTTGTCACTGAAAATTTAAAGAAATATAGAATCATTGTGTATAAGACAACAGAAAATCATCTGAACAACGCATCTATTTCTTGTTAAAATTATGTCATCTTTAAAAGCCAGTATTCTACTCTTTTCTTAAGACTAGAATCTTAAAGAATCTTAGAATTCTAAAAATAAACAAATAAGCATTGCACAGTATAAAGATCATAGAATTTGGCCCTAGATGGACCAAGTTCTGAATGCCTCCTATTGTTTTATTAACGGTGGTATTTAAACTCTCTTAGCCCGAGGTTCTTCATCTGTAAAATGGCAGGCAAACAAATTTCTACTTCATAATGGTTGTCAGGAGAATTAAATGATATAACACAGATAAAGTATCTAAAATAACTCCTGGTCCATGGAAACTTTTCAAATTGTTTTCTTTAAAAAAGTATTCACTAAAAGTAATGTATTATAATCTATTATGTTCCATATAACAGGTTAAATCTACTTTAGGCTTTTCTTGAACAATTAAAATTATGTAATTTCTTTAGATATCAAAATCATTCCTTAATGTTTAGGTCCTAAAGTAAGCGACTTGAAATAAAGAAAAAGTTTATTCAGTTTTTTAAAAAGATAATGTGTTATTTTTCTGAATTCTTGGGGACTCAGTGAGGGCAAGGATGATGCGTTGATGCCCCTCAGTATCCATTATGATACCTACCCAAAGTAATTGGCCGATACAAGTCCCTCAGCAGACTGTTTCTTGTTGAGTTCAAAACATGGCATTTAGAAAACAGGTATATGTGTGTGAGAGAGAATGAAAAGCACCCGGAATGACTGTAAAGTTACCCTGTGTTTTTCCAGAAAGAGGATAGGTTCAATTCTCTGGGATCTGGCCAGAGAACTTGTTAAATAAAAAGCACCGACACCAGGTATCATCC